ATACTGCATTTTTTAAACTATTCCAACCCTCTTCAACCCCCCCACTACTCATACTTGCACCAGCCCACCTTTCAGCCAATAGTTGCTTATATCTCACCTGAACTTCCTCCTCCCTTAGTTTATACACTTTCACCTCCCTCTTGCTTGTTGTTACCATTTTCCTCTTTTCCAGTCTACCTCTTACTCTAACTGTAGCTACAACTAAATAATGATCCGATATATCAGTTGCCCCTCTATAAACGTTTACATCCTGGAGCTTACCTATCAACCTTTTATCCACCAATACATAATCTAACAAGCTACTTTCATTACGTGCTATATCATACCTTGTATTTTATTTATCCTCTTCTTCATAAAATATGTATTACTTATTACCAAACCTCTTTCTACACATAGCTCAATTAAAGGCTCCACATTTTCATCTACCCCTGGCACCCCAAATTTACCTACTACTCCCTCCATAACATTTTTACCCACTTTAGCAGTGAAATCCCCAACCGCCATTACTCTCACACTTGGTTCAAAACTCCCCATGCATTCACTCAACATTTCCCAAAATCTCTCTCTCACCTCTACACTTCTCTTCTCCAGGTGCATATACACTTACTATAACCCACTTTTCACATCCAACCTTTATTTTCCTTGAATTAATACATTTATAGTCCCTCTTTTCCTGCCATAACTTATCCTTCAACACTATTGCTACTCCTTCTTTAGCTCTAACTCTATTTGAAACCCCTGACCTAATCCCATTTATTCCTCTCCACTGAAACTCTCCCACCCCCTTCACCTTTGTTTCACTTAAAGCCAGGACATCCAGCTTCTTCTCATTCATAACATCCACAATCATCTCTTTCTTATCATTTGCACAACATCCATGCACATTCAGACTTTCCACTTTGACAATTTCTTCTTCTTATTCTTATTATTGCTGTTATTATAATAATATTTATGGGAAAGCATTAAACCCACAGGGGGTCATACAGTGCTTGGAGAATGGGAGGCAATCAATTTACCCTAATAAGGGAAGGGTAGTTCCAATTCCTCAGATGACGAGCCCTTCACCAGCACGAAGGCACTCCTTCCCTATCAATGAAGGACCCCAACATGGCTAAAGCATCCACAGAACTCCATGTCCTTATGCAGGTGTGGAGAAGAGTATGTCCCTCCTAAATCTTGTGCCACAGGATGCACTGGACTGCTTATCATAGCATCCCAAGTTCAAATGACTGGTGAACTGGGATCTTGACTCTCAAGAATGAAGATCATAATCAGGTGGCAGAGCCTGGCACTTTGGCTTCTCTAGCCACTGCCAACAAAGGCATATCAGGGTTAGTCCTGGAAGAACTAACTTAAATAACACAAAGGCACAATACCATGACTGGAACAAATCACAAATAACCCGCACATAGGAGAGAGGAGCTTATGACAACATTTCGGTCCGACTTGGACCGACTTGGCCGGGAGCAATGGGCTAGTAACCCCTTCTCCTGTATACAATTACTAAAAAAGAGAAGAAGAAAAACTTTATAAAACTGGGTTGCTTAAATGTGCGTGGATGTAGTGCGGATGACAAGAAACAGATGATTGCTGATGTTATGAATGAAAAGAAGTTGGATGTCCTGGCCCTAAGCGAAACAAAGCTGAAGGGGGTAGGAGAGTTTCAGTGGGGGGAAATAAATGGGATTAAATCTGGAGTATCTGAGAGAGTTAGAGCAAAGGAAGGGGTAGCAGTAATGTTAAATGATCAGTTATGGAAGGAGAAAAGAGAATATGAATGTGTAAATTCAAGAATTATGTGGATTAAAGTAAAGGTTGGATGCGAGAAGTGGGTCATAATAAGCGTGTATGCACCTGGAGAAGAGAGGAATGCAGAGGAGAGAGAGAGATTTTGGGAGATGTTAAGTGAATGTATAGGAGCCTTTGAACCAAGTGAGAGAGTAATTGTGGTAGGGGACTTGAATGCTAAAGTAGGAGAAACTTTTAGAGAGGGTGTGGTAGGTAAGTTTGGGGTGCCAGGTGTAAATGATAATGGAGCCCTTTGATTGAACTTTGTATAGAAAGGGGTTTAGTTATAGGTAATACATATTTTAAGAAAAAAAGGATAAATAAGTATACACGATATGATGTAGGGCGAAATGACAGTAGTTTGTTGGATTATGTATTGGTAGATAAAAGACTGTTGAGTAGACTTCAGGATGTACATGTTTATAGAGGGGCCACAGATATATCAGATCACTTTCTAGTTGTAGCTACACTGAGAGTAAAAGGTAGATGGGATACAAGGAGAATAGAAGCATTAGGGAAGAGAGAGGTGAAGGTTTATAAACTAAAAGAGGAGGCAGTTAGGGTAAGATATAAACAGCTATTGGAGGATAGATGGGCTAATGAGAGCATAGGCAATGGGGTCGAAGAGGTATGGGGTAGGTTTAAAAATGTAGTGTTAGAGTGTTCAGCAGAAGTTTGTGGTTACAGGAAAGTGGGTGCAGGAGGGAAGAGGAGCGATTGGGGAATGATGATGTAAAGAGAGTAGTAAGGGAGAAAAAGTTAGCATATGAGAAGTTTTTACAAAGTAGAAGTGATGCAAGGAGGGAAGAGTATATGGAGAAAAAGAGAGAAGTTAAGAGAGTGGTGAAGCAATGTAAAAAGAGAGCAAATGAGAGAGTGGGTGAGATGTTATCAACAAATTTTGTTGAAATAAGAAAAAGTTTTGGAGTGAGATTAACAAGTTAAGAAAGCCTAGAGAACAAATGGATTTGTCAGTTAAAAATAGGAGAGGAGAGTTATTAAATGGAGAGTTAGACGTATTGGGAAGATGGAAGGAATATTTTGAGGAATTGTTAAATGTTGATGAAGATAGGGAAGCTGTGATTTCGTGTATAGGGCAAGGAGGAATAACATCTTGTAGGAGTGAGGAAGAGCCAGTTGTGAGTGTGGGGGAAGTTCGTGAGGCAGTAGGTAAAATGAAAGGGGGTAAGGCAGCCGGATTGATGGGATAAAGATAGAAATGTTAAAAGCAGGTGGGGATATAGTTTTGGAGTGGTTGGTGCAATTATTTAATAAATGTATGGAAGAGGGTAAGGTACCTAGGGATTGGCAGAGAGCATGCATAGTTCCTTTGTATAAAGGCAAAGGGGATAAAAGAGAGTGCAAAAATTATAGGGGGATAAGTCTGTTGAGTGTACCTGGTAAAGTGTATGGTAGAGTTATAATTGAAAGAATTAAGAGTAAGACGGAGAATAGGATAGCAGATGAACAAGGAGGCTTTAGGAAAGGTAGGGGGTGTGTGGACCAGGTGTTTACAGTGAAAACATATAAGTGAACAGTATTTAGATAAGGCTAAAGAGGTCTTTGTGGCATTTATGGATTTGGAAAAGGCGTATGACAGGGTGGATAGGGGGGCAATGTGGCAGATGTTGCAAGTGTATGGTGTAGGAGGTAGGTTACTGAAAGCAGTGAAGAGTTTTTACGAGGATAGTGAGGCTCAAGTTAGAGTATGTAGGAAAGAGGGAAATTTTTTCCCAGTAAAAGTAGGCCTTAGACAAGGATGTGTGATGTCACCGTGGTTGTTTAATATATTTATAGATGGGGTTGTAAGAGAAGTAAATGCGAGGGTCTTGGCAAGAGGCGTGGAGTTAAAAGATAAAGAATCACACACAAAGTGGGAGTTGTCACAGCTGCTCTTTGCTGATGACACTGTGCTCTTGGGAGATTCTGAAGAGAAGTTGCAGAGATTGGTGGATGAATTTGGTAGGTGTGCAAAAGAAGAAAATTAAAGGTGAATACAGGAAAGAGTAAGGTTATGAGGATAACAAAAAGATTAGGTGATGAAAGATTGAATATCAGATTGGAGGGAGAGAGTATGGAGGAGGTGAACGTATTCAGATATTTGGGAGTGGACGTGTCAGCGGATGGGTCTATGAAAGATGAGGTGAATCATAGAATTGATGAGGGAAAAAGAGTGAGTGGTGCACTTAGGAGTCTGTGGAGACAAAGAACTTTGTCCTTGGAGGCAAAGAGGGGAATGTATGAGAGTATAGTTTTACCAACGCTCTTATATGGGTGTGAAGCGTGGGTGATGAATGTTGCAGCGAGGAGAAGGCTGGAGGCAGTGGAGATGTCATGTCTGAGGGCAATGTGTGGTGTGAATATAATGCAGAGAATTCGTAGTTTGGAAGTTAGGAGGAGGTGCGGATTACCAAAAACTGTTGTCCAGAGGGCTGAGGAAGGGTTGTTGAGGTGGTTCGGACATGTAGAGAGAATGGAGCGAAACAGAATGACTTCAGAGTGTATCAGTCTGTAGTGGAAGGAAGGCGGGGTAGGGGTCGCCTAGGAAGGGTTGGAGGGAGGGGGTAAAGGAGGTTTTGTGTGCGAGGGGCTTGGACTTCCAGCAGGCATGCGTGAGCGTGTTTGATAGGAGTGAATGGAGACAAATGGTTTTTAATACTTGACGTGCTGTTGGAGTGTGAGCAAAGTAACATTTATGAAGGGATTCAGGGAAACCGGCAGGCCGGACTTGAGTCCTGGAGATGGGAAGTACAGTGCCTGCACTCTGAAGGAGGGGTATTAATGTTGCAGTTTAAAAACTGTAGTGTAAAGCACCCTTCTGGCAAGACAGTGATGGAGTGAATGATGGTGAAAGTTTTTCTTTTTCGGGCCACCCTGCCTTGGTGGGAATCGGCCGGTGTGATAATAAAATAAATAATAATAATAAAATAATAATTGGACCACTTACAAAATCACACTAACAGAAAGGAGAGAAGGAGGGAGTATATACAGGCCAGCAGACACGGATGGGGCATGAGAGGTAGTGCTGGCCTATATATACTCCCTTCTCCTCTCCTTTCTGTTAGTGTGACTTTGTAAATGGTCCAAGTCAGACCGAAATGTCATTGTAAGCTCCTCTCTCCTATGTACAGGTTATTTGTGTAGAATTAATTTAAATGATAAGTACTAAACCAAACCTTTTCAAACACATATACTAGATTACCAAGTCTTACCCCTATTGGTAAGTCCCTGAGGTATAGTTGCTGAGTCAAGGTGTAGAGGATCGGTTTTGGTCTGTGGTATATTATGGTAGATACGTTTGTAGTGATTGTACACAGCTACACTTAACACCTTCTTGGCTCGGTCCTGACCAACAACATGCTTGTCCAAGTAGTCAAAGATCTGAAGATTAAAAATAAGGAACTTTATTTATATGTTAAGCTAATAAATGTACAAATTCTTTACTTACTCTTACAAATGCAGAGCTGCTTGCTTATAAAAATGGCCTATATTGCTAACTAGGTATAGCTTGATTATATTACAGTATAACAATTCAGTTTAGAAACCATGAGCTCCAACCCCCATTTGAAACACAATGCGTATACATTTTCCATAAAATGAGGAAAAAATCCTAAACCTTTTCTTTCTTCTAACCCCCTTATCTCTTGCTCTATAACACTACCTCCTCCCTATCCATCTTTCCATCCATCCATCTTCTCACTCTTACTCCCTTATTTTTATTTACACATGTTTTTGTAGGGTTAGGTTATGAGTTCCTACCTTTATTTACATGCTAAGAGCTATTACCTACTTCAGCTCATTTGAAAGCTTTATTATGAAACATACAAATAGGGAACAAGACGAAGTCAAAACCATCTGTGGGACAGTGATTTAATCTGATCGACTGACTTAATTTCATCAATGTTATTTTGCTGTACAAACGTGTTTCAGAGTTGAGTCATTCCAGGAATGAACAATCTCAGATTAAGTGATGTTCTGAAGAATGGTACAGCCTGAGAGTAGTTGGTATTTCCTCTCTAGGATAAGTAAATGTCAGAGCACAGTCATCTGCACAGGCATGGGATTCTGGGATGAGTTAAAGGTCATTGAAACTGAAATAGGCATTCCACAACAATGGCCCAAGCACACTTCCCTGTGGAACACTGGCACCCATTGAGTGTCTTGTTGACTTTGTCCCATCGAAAACTATGGAGGCAAAGTGCAGAGCCAGACTCCTAGTGCTTGCAGTTTGGCCAAGAGTTCCTGGTGCTATACTCAGTCAGAAGTGCCAGCAATGTCCAATGATACTACACAGCTGGTCTTAGATTCATCCAGCAACTGGTGCCACATAGTGAAAAAGTTAAACAGCAGATCAGAAGCAGAGCAACCTTTTCTGAAGCCATAATGAAAGTCACAAAGAAGCAAGTGGTAGTCAAAAGATGTTGTCATTTACTCCGAGATTATTGTCAAAAGAATCTTGCCAGTAACTGACAAGAGGGACACTGTTCTGTAGCTGCTCTGCTCTTTATTTTGAGAACAAGAACTACTCCCTTCCATCCCTTATCTTTCAATATCACAGAATACTCCTACCTCTATTGTTTACATAACAAAATAGTGTTGAATTTATAGTGTAGTTCATATTAGACAAAATTTAAGAAATAAACTGACATAAAATCATCGTGGTACCAACCTTCTTCGGGGGCGGCGGAGGTCTACGGCTAAAGCTGGTCCTCTGATCATCTCTCTTTTCTTTTTTCTTCCGCTTAGAGTCTGCCTCCGACAAAACAACAAAGAAGTGGTGGCATTTCTCACACTTTACAAAACGGGTAGAAGCTGCCAAAAAGATAAAGAAAAAACAAGTTCTGTGAGCCTGAAGTACAGTACTTCTGGCAACTTTCAACACTATTATACATTGTATATCAAATATTTCACTACAATAAAGCTCCCATTTACTTTTCCTGTGGACTGGTCAAACCGAGTCAGGGTGCCCCAAAAAGAAAAATGAAAGTTTCTCTTTTTAAATTTAGTAATTTATACAGGAGAAGGGGTTACCCGCCCTTTGCCCCCGGCATTTTAGTCGCCTCTTACAACACGCATGGTTTACGGAGGAAGAATTCTGTTCCACTTCCCCATGGAGGTAAGAGGAAATAAACAAGAAGTAGTAAGAAAATAAAAGAAAACCCAGAAGGGTGTGTATATATATGCTTGTACATGTATGTATAGTGTGACCTAAGCGTAAATAGAAGTAGCAAGACGTACCTGAAATCTTGCATGTTTATGAGACAGAGAAATGACACCAGCAATTCTACCATCATGTAAAACAAGTACAGGCTCCGGTTTTACACTCACTTGGCAGGACGGTAGTACCTCCCTTGGCGGTTGCTGTCTACCAACTACCTAGGTATACTCTATACATATATAGTATTTATTTACTGATACAGCATACATTTTTAACTCAATAGCCAAGTCCTACTAAGACAAGGTGGGGAAAATAAAAAAAAAAAAAAGCACATTCACCATCATTAACCCTTTGACTGTCACAACCCCAAATCCTGAGGTGTCTCCTGGTGTCGCAAAATATTTGGAAAAAAAAAAAAAAATCTTATGAAATGATAGAGAATCTTTTCCTGATGGTAATGACACCAAAAGTACGAAATTTGATGGAAAACAAAACTTACAGAATTACACTCTCGCAAAGTTAATGACCTCGGCGATATTTACGAATCAGCGATTTCGCCCACTTTGAGCCCTATTTTCGATAAATTCCATTGTTCCAGTCAACCAAACTCATAACTATTTCTTTGGAACTCCATTTGTTCTATTGATTGAGTACAAGAAACTGTCTATTTACCAATTTCAACTACCCAATAAAGTGGTCAGAAATTGGCAATTTGGCCAATTTCACGCAAATTAAAAAATACGTATGCTAATTTCAAAACAGTGTCCAGAATGAACAATGCAGACATTCCTGGCTCTAAAATAACATTTTCTTTATTCATCAGTCACATCTCCAGGCTCCTCTGATTTTACTCTTGCTTTCTATTTTGAATTTTTATTCAAAAAAAAAAAAAAAAAAAAAAAAATAGAAGATTTACTGTTATGCAGACTACTGCAATATTGTAGAAATTATATAAATAACATCAACCCATTCATGACTACATATCAGAATGGCTAGTTGGACATTTATTGGACAATAACATCATTTGTTTACTCTTGAACATCAGCAAAAATCAAACATTTCCTCTACTTTGAACTCCAGTTCAAGGTCCTTTTCATAGTAAAACCAATCAAAATCACCTCTATTTCTATAATGTTTTCCATTCTATCAAATATGACTACAAAAATGAGAATACTGTATAACCATAAAAACTACACAAAAATACACCTCAAGGTCGGCGTTTTAATCCAAAAACACGGTCGGAGTTTTTTTTCTCATTATGCACTGCATGCTGCAGGATTTTTTTTTATATGGTACACACTGACCACACAGACCCATTCTCTCACATGTGGGCCTACCAGCTTTCTCCTGCTTGATTTGAAGCCACTAGAATTTTTGAGTATACATGTATATACGTCAAACACATTGGCTCGTAAGATGTATATATATGATCAAAACAGTCAAAGGGTTAACTCAACTGCTGTCTTTCCAGATGCGTGTTGACTTCACAAGATTACCCTCCAACTGCAACAGCCCCACCCCTCCTTCATGGAGCAGGCACTGCCCTTCCCACCTCCAGGACTCAAGTCCGTTAAACAGTTTCCCTGAATCCCTTCACAAAAGTTTCCTTACTCATACTCCAACAGAATGTTCATTAAAAACCATCCAACATTATATGCAATTTATCATTGCTTAGATTTATTGTTACCCATATCACTTTGTTCTTTTCTACATTCACTTTAAATTTCCTTCCTTTAATTACCAAGCTCATCCACCAGCCTTTGGAATTTCTCCTCAGAATTCCCTAAAAGAACCGCATCACCAGCAAAAAGTAACTGAGATAACTCCCACTTTCTATCAGATCCAATGTCTTACAATCCCATACCCCTTCCTAACAACCTAGCATTTACTTCTTCACAACCTTATGTATAAATACATCAAGCAGCCATGGTGATTTCAAGCATCCTTGTTGAAGCCCTACTTTCACTGGAAAATAGTCCCTCATCTCTTCTATGTCCCCTTACCTGAGCTTCACTTTCTGCATAAAAAACCAACTTCTTTCAGTAACCTACCTCCTATTCCATACATCTGCCACACAGTTGCCCTATCCATCTTATCATGGTTCCATATCTGCCCAATGAAGGGTGATCAAAAAAAGGAAGAAACACTTCTACCGCAACTCATTCAATTACAATCTTACCAGAAGAATGTTGACATTATAGTTTAAAAGGTCATACTTTGCCATGGGAAAGGGAGGTACAGGGAATCAGGTTTGATCTGAGTAAGAGGACAAATCCCATTCCTTAGATGAAGAGCCCTTCATCAACATTCAAAGTACGTACCTCCCCTGAAGGGTGAAGTAGCAATCCTTGGAACTACAAGATACACTTCAATTTTGTTTGAAAATATTTTAATATGACATTTCCCAGAACTCTCCTCCAACTTTATTTTGCCAATTTTATTTATCTAAGTTCATTTGTTAATTTTCATCTTTCCTCATGTAAGCTTTTAAAACTTACAGCTGGATTTGGAAACTGGAGTAAACTACACTATCACAGAAAGGATATTCCCTAATGAAGTATTTTAAATTTAGTGAGATTTTCCATTTTGTTCACCTAGTAAATGGATATTATTATTATGAGATTAATTAATAAAGGAAACAAAACAAAATGTTCTTTGAAGGCAAAGAATTAGGGGGGATATGATGAGGTGTATAAATGGAAAACAGGAATTAATAAAGGGGATGTAAATAACGTGCTAAAAAATATCTAACATAGACAGGACTCACAGCAATGGCTTTAACCCTTTCAGGGTTTCCGACGTACTAGTACGCCTAAATTCTAGCGCCTTCAAATTTAGCGAGAGAAAGCTGGTAGGCCTACATATGAAAGAATGGGTCTATGTGGTCAGTGTGCACAGTATAAAAAAATCCTGCAGCACACAGTGCATATGAGAAAAAAAAAACTTTGACAGTGTTTTTGGTTTAAAACAGTGACTTTGCACTGTATTTTCATATGGTATTTATGGTTGTATTCTAGTTTTTCTGGTCTCATTTTATAGAATGGATGACATATTACAGAAATTGAGATGATTTTGATTGGTTTCACAATGAAAAATGCCTTGAAATTGAGCTCAAAATAGCAGAAATGTTCGATTTTTACCAAAGTTCAAAAGTAAACAAATCATGCCATGTATCCAATACACGTCAACTGGTGAGTCTAATATTCTTTCACAAGCACATTGATATTATTTATACCATTTCTACACTAATGCAGTAGTCTGCATAACAGTAAATCTTCTATTTTTTGTGAGAATAAAAATTCAAAGTGGAAAGCAAAAGAAATGTAAGAGGGGCCTGGGAATGTGACTAATAAACAGAGGAAATTATATTTTAATGCCAGGAATGTCTGTCTTGTCTATTCTGAACCCTATTTGGAAATTGACATCTTTTGAAATTTGTGTGAAATTGGCAAAATTGCTAAATTCTGACTGCTTTATTGGATAGTTGAAATCGGTAAATGAGTGGTTTCTTGTACTCAATCAATAGAAAAAATGGAGTTCTAGCGAAATAGTTATGATTTTTGTCGACTAGTACACTGGAATTGGCCGAAAATACGGCTCAAAGTGGGCAAAATCACCGATGCAAAACCATCGTCGAGACCTGCTAACTTCGCGAGAGCATAATTCTGTAAGTTTTCCATCAAATTTCAAACTTTTGGTGTCATTATGATCGGAAAAAGATTCCCTAACTTTTCATAAGAAAAAATAATTTTTCCGAAAAATTTTCGACCCTGAGAACGAGTTTAGGAGAGGGCCTCTCAACCCTAAAAGGGTTAAATTGGAAAAATTCAGATTCAGGAAGGATATAGGAAAGCACTGGTTTGGTAATACAGTTGTGGATGAGTGGAACAAACTCCCGAGTACCGTCATAGATGCTAAGATGTTGTGTAGTTTTAAAAATAGGTTGGATAAATGCATGAGTGGGTGTGAGCTGGACCTGACTAGCTTGTGCTACTAGGTCGGATGCACTGCTCCTCCCTTAAGTGATGTGTCTGACCTCACTAGGTCAAGGCATTGGCTTAAGCCGGTGGGAGAATTGGAGCTGCCTCATATAGGCCAGTACACCTGTTGCAGTGTTCCTTCTTTCTTATGTTCCTGAATCTGACAAAAAAAAAAAAAAAAAAAAAAAAAAAAAAAAAAAAAAAAAAAAAAAAAAAAAAAAAGCCATCTTAAAAACTCATTACAAGTCTTTTTATTTTACTCTACTTTGTATCGTCCTTATTCCTGTAGTTTATCACAATGACATGCCTAAGATGATACTAGACAGCTGTAGCAATGACATTTTTCATTATTAAACACATGGTACAAAGTGCAAAGGTTTTCGGGCAAAACTAAATTTATAGTTGGGTACTCAATAGGGCTGAGCTTGTTTCACAAGCTGCAGAGTTATAATTCTCTTTGTTGGTCATGACTGTTATGTTATTTTGCAAAAGCAAAACAGAAAAGTCTACTCTCCAGTTAGTGTTTTCTTTATCTACTTAACCAAAAATTGGAGATACTGTACCAGAAACAAGGACTTAACAATTATGAAACCACTGTACTTACAAACAAATGTTTCCACGTGTGTACATGGGTCACCACATTTAGGGCAACATAACTGGTTCTTCTCATTCTTTTTTTTCTCTGTGTCCTTATCATTACCATCGTCACCACTGCCACCATCTGTTGGGGGACCAGTAGAGGTCTGGCAGCACAGAGAAGCAGAAGATATAGGTCGTACAAACACCCAGGAACATCTCTCAGGCCGACATTCTGTCATTCGCACAAACATCAAACCTGAAAAGACCATCAAGCAGCAAAACATAACCAAATGACAAATATTAAAGATGTATGCAAACAACCAAATTAAAAATAAAATGCAAGATTTAACCCTTAAACTGTCCAAACGTAGATATATGTTGACGTGCGGCAGGCTCCGAATGTAGATCTACGTTTTTTACACGCTTTCAAATGGGGAAAATCAAGGTCGGAGGGCTACGCACATGAACGTAGATCTACGTCTGGACAGTTTAAGGGTTAAGTTTGCCTCTATGTATGTATGTAGGAAATTTTTAATTATGGTCAATAACATGAAAGATAAACTGAACAAAATTTAACCAGGTTACAATTATATCTTATCATCATAAACTGCATTAAATTTGAACAGCCAGGCACAAATTCAATTCAATTCAAAGTTTATTCTCTATAAAGATTACAATGTTGAATTTACAGAATTTGGTTGTTGTGTGGTTTACATATAGTTAAATAATGATTACAGAGTGTACCACTAGAACGCCTAGCATGGCTAGGCATTTCGGGCAGACTTAGTTTAATTCTTTATTTTAAAATATTACAAATTATGACAAATTATGAGGTTGTGCTGTTGATGAAGAATTAAGACACATGTGCAACACCTGGGTATCTTTATTTGTAGACGTTTCACCATCCTGTAGCTTTATGAATACAAGGCCATATGCATTATGTCCTTGTATTCTACTGATAAAGTCACTGGATGGCAAAACATCTACAAATAGAGATACCCAAGTGTTGAACACGTGTCTAATTTTTCATCTTGTCAGTACTGTATACTATTCATACACAGTTTTGCTGTTAAAACTTACCATTCCTATTTATAATACTATTAGCATTCCTGAAGGACAAAAGTCGCCTTAATGACCGAGCTCCCCATCTGACGCTAGACATAGTTGCTCTATTGCAGACAATGTAGCAGCTCCCTGATTTGAGGTTCAACTATAATATGGACAAATTAGGAAATCTAGGTCTTTTGTGCCTTCTTCTGATGAAAATTTTACTCTGTGAAAAGAAAAATACTGTGATTAATTCTCAAAATTGTTTGTGTGATCATGTGCTAACCAAGCAATTTGGAGACAATGAAAAGTCTCAAGAAAAAAAAAGCATAATTAATATTTTCTGCACAAATTTAATGGCAATACTGTGCAATACAGTAGATAAGAAAAGCACACACAAAATATTGATGCTTAAGGGAATACAATGTTGTATTACAAGTCCTCCATTATTAATACTGAATTTCCTTCTATTTGAAAAAAGGAAACCCACAATACAATAACTATTTCTTTTTACACTGGGGTCCTTTTTTAAGTCTTTTCCAATGATACAGCTTATAACAATAGACTAACACCTAAGTACAGTGGACCCTTGAGTTTCGTAAGCCTCGTGTTTAATTGCTTGTTTAATGCCTGGTGAACAGAGGCAGCAGGTATAAGGAGGCTTGGTCATAAGTCTGCCAAACTGAGCCTTTTTGGTAATGAGGATGAATGCTCTTCCATTAAACTATCAGAAGTTGTGCAAACTGTTCTTTTAGTACACAAATAAGCCACACTTAGGAGACTGAAACTTATGACAATGTTTCAGTGCAACTTGGACCATCACGTACCTTTCAACCAGACAGATCTGTTTGTGGCTTGATAAAACCCACTGTGTGGGTGAAACATTGTCAATAAAGGATCACACTAGTTAATGGTCCAAGGTGGACCAAAACATCGTCATAAGATTCTGTCTCCTACGTGAGAGGTTATCCGTGTATGCTGAAGTCACATTGTGTTTTTTTATTCTTTCTGTTGCTAGAACACACAATAAATTAAATAACTCTCTTCATATCTTGACTCAGTGAACACTGCACCACTGGTGAACAAGCCAGCAGATGGAGTGATCAACAAAAGACCATCTGAGAATTCAGGAACGGGAGTATCAGTAGAGATCAAGTGATTCCACTACTACACTACTGCCTATTCAGAAACTATAATCAACAGGAAGCACTAAACACACAAGTCATACAGCACCTGGAGAACAGGAGACAATCAAGTTTGACCCCTAAATCCTTCACTATTAGAGTGCACTAAAACAATATTTAAAGCAAGGTTTAAAATACAGTGGAACCCCAGATGGTCGAAAACAGATTTGTATGAAAACTGAAGTCATATTTCCCATAAGAAATAATGTAAATCCAATTAATCTGTTCCAGACACCCAAAAATATTAACAAAAAAATTCTTTACAGAGAATAACTATAGTGTTGCAGCTCTTCAGTGGTTAGCTCTTCCCTGTGGTTGTCCACCAACTCTTCCACATCCTGGCCACTCACATCCAACCCCATGGACTTCCCCAAAGCCACAATAGATTCCACAACATGCATAGGGTTGTCAAGTTTACACTAACTTATATGTATTAAGTTAGTAATAGAACTAGGCATTAAAAACACAATAAAAAGTAAAATACATACACAGTACATTCATTACTTACCATAAAATGTTTGTAAAGTTTTAATGTAAGGCAAGAGGTGAGTAGTACTTATTTGTAGGAAGTCAGGTGTAGGTAGCCGATAGATGTAGGTAAGTAGTCTGCCTGGGCTACATACCTACACCTACCTACATGGCTACACGATATTTAATGCAGCCCAGAGCCATATTATTACCATCGACATACAATGTTCACTGAGTTTAATCATTTCTAACAACTACCTTTAGATGCCATCATAAACAAAGGAAGAAATAATGAATAATTCAAACCGAGAATTGTAAACAAAAGCGTTATGTATTAAGGGGGGTGAACTGGCCCAATGCAGATTCATACACGTTTTCTCTGGTGTTGGACCTGAGAAAATGTAAAATTTTCCCTCCACCCGACTATCACCCTTCCACAGAATATAAACTGCATGTTTATATGCTAATGTGTTTCTTATGTAATTCTGAAGAAAATATCATAGATGGATTAATTAAAATGCTTATAGTAACATAAAATAAGACATTTAATGTGCCCAAGAGTGATTATTATTATGTATTAGTATTATTACTATGGCGTTAAGACCAGAGGGACACTCTTAGTGAACGAGTAAGGACACATCTGGTACGGATGATTTCTGAGTGGATGTACGAAAATGGGGAAAATTTCGCCAAAAAAGTGGTTGAAAACTGAATTGTATGATAACCAGACCGGACAAAAACCGAGGTTCCACTGTATCTTGAATTCTATAAATTACACAGTATTTTGAAATGCAGATAAAACAAACAATGTTGGAAATTCACACCAATATTCTGGAAGATTTATGACATGCCTTACTGCTAGAAATTTTGAATTTCTGTAATATGTCCCGAAGTTGCCATGGATGGCAAGCCTTACTGACAAATATGGTGTAAAAATGCTATATGTAGAGCAAACCTTTACTTAAAGATTATGTTTTGCCCTAAGCAAAGCTTTATGACTTGATAAAGCTCTTACTTAAACAAAATAAAGCCAATATACAAAGGTTTACTCTGCCTTAAAGCCCCCTAAAGTTAAGAGAAACTTTAAAAGTTACATCATCTTGAGTGGCTTCTTCAAAAGTACATGAATGGGCAGGTCATATACCGTAATACAGTAAATGGTAATATTAACCCCTTAGTCAGGATTGTCAGAAACATCTGACAGCAGGAAGGCAAACAAAGTAAACCTCTCAACATAATCAAAAGTTTGATACAGAAAAATCCTACTACTCCTGTGGCTTCTAGCTGATAAATTATATCACTTCTCCTGTTGCAACCTGTGGCTGCTTCTAGACTGCACTTTCCTTAAACATTTCCAGAATACAGTACTACACTGTGTTTAAGCACTTTTCTTTAAACTTTGCTGCAGAAACTTTCCCAATTTATCATTAATGAAAATTTTTTTTTTTTTTTTTTTTTTTTTTTTTCAACAAGTCGGCCGTCTCCCACCGAGGCAGGGTGACCCAAAAAAGAAAGAAAATCCCCAAAAAGAAAATACTTTCATCATCATTCAACACTTTCACCACACTCGCACATTATCACTGTTTTTGCAGAGGTGCTCAGAATACAACAGTCTAGAAGCATACACATATAAAGATACACAACATATCCCTCCAAACTGCCAATATCCCAAACCCCTCCTTTAAAGTGCAGGCATTGTACTTCCCATTTCCAGGACTCAAGTCCGACTATATGAAAATAACCGGTTTCCCTGAATCCCTTCACTAAATATTACCCTGCTCACACTCCAACAGATCGTCAGGTCCCAAGTACCATTCGTCTCCATTCACTCCTATCTAACACGCTCACGCACGCTTGCTGGAAGTCCAAGCCCCTTACCCACAAAACCTCCTTTACCCCCTCTCTCCAACCCTTTCGAGGACGACCCCTACCCCGCCTTCCTTCCCCTATAGATTTATATGCTTTCCATGTCATTCTACTTTGATCCATTCTCTCTAAATGACCAAACCACCTCAACAACCCCTCTTCTGCCCTCTGACTAATACTTTTATTAACTCCACACCTTCTCCTAATTTCCACACTCCGAATTTTCTGCATAATATTTACACCACACATTGCCCTTAAACAGGACATCTCCACTGCCTCCAACCGTCTCCTCGCTGCTGCATTTACCACCCAAGCTTCACACCCATATAAGAGTGTTGGTACTACTATACTTTCATACATTCCCTTCTTTGCCTCCATAGATAACGTTTTTTGACTCCACATATACCTCAACGCACCACTCACCTTTTTTCCCTCATCAATTCTATGATTAACCTCATCCTTCATAAATCCATCCGCCGACACGTCAACTCCCAAGTATCTGAAAACATTCACTTCTTCCATACTCCTCCTCCCCAATTTGATATCCAATTTTTCTTTATCTAAATCATTTGACACCCTCATCACCTTACTCTTTTCTATGTTCACTTTCAACTTTCTACCTTTACACACATTCCCAAACTCATCCACTAACCTTTGCAATTTTTCTTTAGAATCTCCCATAAGCACAGTATCATCAGCAAAAAGTAACTGTGTCAATTCCCATTTTGAATTTGATTCCCCATAATTTAATCCCACCCCTCTCCCAAACACCCTAGCATTTACTTCCTTAACAACCCCATCTATAAATATATTAAACAACCATGGTGACATTACACATCCCTGTCTAAGACCTACTTTTACCGGAAATAGTCTCCCTCTCTTCTACACACCCTAACCTGAGCCTCACTATCTTCATAAAAACTCTTTACAGCATTTAATAACTTACCACCTATTCCATATACTTGCAACATCTGCCACATTGCTCCTCTATCCACTCTATCATATGCCTTTTCTAAATCCATAAATGCAATAAAAAACTTCCCTACCTTTATCTAAATACTGTTCACATATATGCTTCAATGTAAACACTTGATCTACACATCCCCTACCCACTCTGAAACCTCCTTGCTCATCCGCAATCCTACATTCTGTCTTACCTCTAATTCTTTCAATTATAACCCTACCGTACACTTTTCCTGGTATACTCAGTAAGCTTATTCCTCTATAATTTTTACAGTCTCTTTGTCCCCTTTCCCTTTATATAAAGGGACTATACATGCTCTCCGCCAATCCCTAGGTCCCTTTCCCCTCTTTCATACATTTATTGAACAAAAGTACCAACCACTCCAACACTATATCCCCCCTGCTTTTAACATTTCTGTCATGATCCCATCAGTACCAGCTGCTTTACCCCCTTTCATTTTACGTAATGCCTCACGTACCTCCCCCACACTTACATTCTGCTCTTCTTCACTCCTAAAAGATGGTATACCTCCCTGACCAGTGCATGAAATTACTGCCTCTGTTTCTTCCTTAACATTTAAAAGTTCCTCAAATATTCTCGCCATCTACCTAATACCTCCATCTCCCCATCTACTAACTCCCCTACTCTGTTTTTAACTGACAAATCCATATTTTCCCTTGGCTTTCTTAACTTGTTTAACTCACTCCAAAATTTTTTCTTATTTTCATTAAAATTTCTTGACAGTGCCTCTCCCACTCTATCATCTGCTCTCCTTTTGCACTCTCTCACCACTCTCTTTACCTTTCTTTTACTCTCCATATATTCTGCTCTTCTTATAACACTTCTGCTTTGTAAAAACCTCTCATAAGCAAACCTTTTTCTCTTTTATCACACCCTTTACTTCATCATTCCACCAATCACTCCTCTTTCCTCCTGCACCCACCCTCCTATAACCACAAACTTCTGCCCCACATTCTAATACTGCATTTTTAAAACTATTCCAACCCTCTTCAACCCCCCCCATTACTCATCTTTGCACTATCCCACCTTTCTGCCAATAGTCGCTTATATCTCGCCCGAACTTCCTCCTCCCTTAGTTTATACACTTTCACCTCCCTCTTACTTGTTGTTGCCACCTTCCTCTTTTCCCATCTACCTCTTACTCTAACTGTAGCTACAACTAAATAATGATCCGATATATCAGTTGCCCCTCTATAAACATGTACATCCTGGAGCCTACCCATCAACCTTTTATCCACCAATACATAATCTAATAAACTACTTTCATTACGTGCTACATCATACCTTGTATATTTATTTATCCTCTTTTTCATAAAATATGTATTACTTATTACCAAATTTCTTTCTACACATAGCTCAATTAAAGGCTCCCCATTTACATTTACCCCTGGCACCCCAAATTTACCTACTACTCCCTCCATAACATTTTTACCCACTTTAGCATTGAAATCCCCAACCACCATTACTCTCACACTTGATTCAAAACTCCCCACGCATTCACTCAACATTTCCCAAAATCTCTCTCTCTCCTCTACACTTCTCTCTTCTCCAGGTGCATACACGCTTATTATAACCCACTTTTCACATCCAATCTTTATTTTACTCCACATAATCCTTGAATTAATACATTTATAGTCCCTCTTTTCCTGCCATAGCTTATCCTTCAACATTATTGCTACTCCTTCTTTAGCTCTAACTCTATTTGAAACCCCTGACCTAATCCCATTTATTCCTCTCCATTGAAACTCTCCCACCCCCTTCAGCTTTGTTTCACTTAAAGCCAGGACATCCAGCTTCTTCTCATTCATAACATCCACAATCATCTCTTTCTTATCATCTGCACAACATCCACGCACATTCAGACTTCCCACTTTGACAATTTTCTTCTTCTTATTCTTTTTAGTAATCTTTACAGGAAAAGGGGTTACTAGCCCATTGTTCCCGCATTTTAGTTGACTTTTACAACACGCATGGCTTACGGAGGAAAGATTCTTATTCCACTTCCCCCTGGATATAAAAGGAAAATTAATAAGACCAAGAACTATTAAGATAAAATCAAAGAAAACTCAGATGAGTGTGTATGAATAAATGTGTATATGTATGTGTAGTGTGACCTAAGTGTAAGTAGAAGTAGCAAGACATGCCTGTAATCTTGCATATTTATGAGACAGACAAAAGACATCAGCAATCCTACCATCATGTAAAACAATTACAGGCTTTCGTTTTACACTCACTTGGCAGGACGGTAGTACCTCCCTGGGTGGTTGCTGTCTACCAACCTACTACCTATAATGAAAATATTTCCTTTAAAAGCTGACCAATTAACAGAAGAGGAAAAGTTTGCACAATTAGCATCAGCTGTCATAAAATGTAAAACTGTATTTTAACTACACCGATATAAACTCAGTTTGCAAATTATCCTTAACAAACACAAAATAAGGGTTCATGTGCATCCACTGCCACAGGAATGTTGAAAGCTTAGAGTCCTTACCTATCAAGTTTCATTTCTTTGTATCAATCATCATTCATCAATCCTCCTAACATGATGGTTCTTGACCCTATCAGTATAGAGTATACAAAATCTCCACATAACAAATAATGTAATGTGTGGAAACATCCACATAACAAATAATGTGTGGAAACATCCACATAACAAATAATGTGTGGAAACATCCACATAACAAATAATGTGTGGAAACATCCACATAACAAATAATGTGTGGAAACATCCACATAACAAATAATGTGTGGAAACATCCACATAACAAATAATGTGTGGAAACATCCACATAACAAATAATGTGTGGAAACACCCTCAGCCACACAGTGGTAGTACCAAAATGGGCTTGGGGGCTCCTGCCCCACAAAATTCCCTCAGCTCCCCAAAGTCCCCCAGTCTCCCCCATCCAACCAGACATCCTTCACTCCCTCCCGTACAGAAATTCTGGCACTGTCCCTGCAGTCATCTAAACCACTAATAATAACGATGATTAGTAATAATTTATTTTACAATAAGACAGTTAATACAAAAGCATCTTACACGTAAAAGCTTGCTATTAATGTAAAACACTTTAAGCAGACCAAGCGGCTTATTTCCATTGGGGTCCTTGTAATATCTTAATATTTTAAGCATAGCTTGAAGTTACAGTAGAAATCAGTCATGATTATGACCTTCAAAATTAAAACAATTAAGTAACTTAACTGTGTGAAAATCAGTTACGATAAATGGAGATATAACAGGAATAACATGGAGTTATTGACATGAACATTATTGAGAGGATTAGCTTACAATAACAAGTACATGAATGTTAACTATACAAGAAATAACTCTCCTCTCTATTTGTAGCTTCATTTATTAAGGGAGGAGAGTGATTTCTTGTCTAGTTAACATTCATGTACTTGTTATTGTAAGCTGATCCTTTCTTTAATATTAATGTAAATACCTCAAGTTCACTTTATTCCTATTGTATCTCCTTTTACTGTAACTGATTGTCACACAACTGAGTTAGTTGTTTTAATTTTGAAGGTTATAATCATGACTGATTTCTACTGTAACTTACAGCTAAGCTGTAAATATTAAGATATTACAATGACACCAATGGAAATAAGTCACTTTGACTATTTTGGGTAATCCTTGGTAATTTACACATATATTAAACTATGTATAATAATTGTACTAATGTGTGGCTGTACCTAATTAAAACTTAATTACACAGAATTCATACATTGTTACAAATAAATTGAAATCTTTACATTGATCAATACATTATGACAGCTGTTAAGAGGCAACCATGGACAAGTGTTATAAATGTTCAAAAGCTTCATAACCTCGAATTAAAAAAAAAAAAAGTGACATTGTACCTGTGATACAACTTTGATGAATTTCCAGTGACTAATAATTAATAATAATAATAATAATAATAATAATAATAATAATAATAATAATAATAATAATAATAATAATAATAAATAAATAATAAATAATAATAATAATAATAATAAAAAATAATAATAATATTTCTTTGTAAAGGTTACAATGTGTAATTACAATTTTTATTTGCTAAGTACAAAGATAGTCACTATCATACCTATTTAATACTACTTAAAAACTGTGGCCGCAATGACCTAAAAACTGATTTTTTGACCAAAATAAAGCACATATAAGACACAAACACAAACAAGTACACACACAAGACTTAACAACCTTCACATTAAAACATTTCAAGGTAAACCACTTTTTTTTACCCCATCAGATCTTACAAGGGGAAGGAAAAAATCACACTGCATTAAACTATCGTGAGTCGTGATATTAAGAACCAAGTTGTATATATATAAAAAATATATATAAATATTTTTCACGTAATGTTAAAACTGGTTTTGAGGACAATAATCACAAGAACGGTGACCCACACTTCTCCTGCCCCATAACCATACATCTTCCCCCGTGAGCCAGCACAAGACACGTGACCGTGACCTCGGGAGGTCATAAATCGAGCGGAAATAATTACTTTGTGCCTTATTAATGTGAGTTGTGAGAAGCAGCGACGTAGGTGCTCCTGTCAGCACTCCTCTCAGCCACCATTACCGTGCTTTTAGCATCCTATTTTATAACTTTATCCCCATGTAGCAGATAATATTATAATAAACTTTGTTAAAATTTTTGTTGTTTATACTTTAATAATTTTTATATCTGCATCTCTTTTATAATTGTAGCTTAAAAAATAATAATATATGCTATTTATAAACCTAAAAGATTTGATTGATGCGATTAGATACGTGACATATTAAATATTTTATTAATAAATATAAATTATTAATAAAGATTGAAACAAAAAGAATTAAACAATGTTGTAAGAATGTATACTTGAGTTTATATTCTTCAATATCAAGGTATATATAATATGAATCGCAGACACCAGCTGAGTGATGTCAACAATCTGTTGTGTAAATAAAAGTAAGAAATAAATATTTGGCAATACCATCAAGATGTGGGGAAAAAACACCACTTATGTACAGCTCACGACCTTTATTTGAAGGGGAGTTTTGCTACTAGTGACTTCTGCAGTCCTAAGGACTGTATAAGACACTGGTGGCGAAACGTTTCCTTTCATGAGGATCTTAAACTGGACGTTTGTGTCTTAAGGAAAAGTTTGACTTCTTCTTCTTCTGTTGGGTTTCAGGGGCACTGAGAAAAGTTTGACTATTCAGGTACAATTATATACTCTTTGAATGGGTACGGGAATAAATTCGTGGGTAGCGGTGGTTTTGATAAGGACCTGCCTTGTGTATGGGCCAGTAGGCCTTCTGCAGTGTTCCTCCATTTTTATGTTCTAATATATGTGTACATTACTAGAATAACCTAAAAAAAAAAAATCAAGCAAGGTGACTTATTACCATTGGGATCTTTAGTGAGCCTACTCATCTATTTGTCAGTATTTTATACCATTAATATGACTCAGTATAGTGGTAAATATAGGTACGTCTAAGATTACACTTGATTCCTTTTCGTTTACGTTAAGTAAATTTATTTAGGTGCAGGTACACAAATTATTATAATTAACATATGTGTAAATTACCTAGAATACTTTCATGCATTAACATAAAGGAGCACTGCAGCAGGCCTTCTGGCCCATGCTAGGCAAGTCAAAGTCACACCAGCTCAATAAGGAAGGAGGATTGCAGTAAGGCCTACTGGGCCAATCTGGTCAGGTCCAACTCACACCCATCCACACCAACTCATGTATTGGTCTAACCTATTTTTAAAACTCCACAATGTTTTAACTTCAGTGGCACTACTCAGGAGTTTGTTTCACTCATCCACAACTCCTACCAAACCAATTCTTTCCTATATCCTTTCTAAATATAAATTTTAATAACTTGAAACCATTGCTGCCAGTCCTGTCTTGGTTACATATTTTTAGCATGTTATTTACATCCTCTTTATTTATTCCTATTTCCCAGTTATACACCTCAGTCATATCCCCCCTTAATTCTACGCTTCTCTAGAAAGTGCAGATTCCGAGCCCTCAGTCTATCCTCATAGTAAAGATTTTTGATATGTTGGATCAACTTTGTCATCCTTCTTTATGTGTTTTCCGGGGCATTTATATTTATTGTGTAATACGGTAACAAGATCTGTTCAGCATAATTTAAATGAGACCTAACCATTGATATAAAGAGTTGATAAATAACCTGAGGACTCTTGTTCTTTATACTTCTTGATATGAAACCAAGAATTATGTTGTCTTGGTTTTAGATTATTCTAACCAAAATTCCTAAATCTATTTAGTTTATAAGTGTCCTGGTTATTTTCCTTTCCAATGCTTAGAACCTCTGCATTTGTCTATATTAACCTACATCTGCCACTTCTCTGACCACTGCATCAATCTATTCTGATGTTCCTGTAGAGCTCTAGTGTCCTCGCCAGAATTAATTTGACAGCCTATTTTAGTGTCGTTGGCAAACTTGCTTATGTCGCTGTTTATTCCCTAATCTATGGTGTTAGTTGCCAGTGACCCTGAAACCCCCCAACAAGAAGAAGAGAAGAACTGAGCCCCCTACTTTTCTCTAGTGATGGAGAACGCTCTGATCCCTGGGAATCCGGAGGCAGGGCACAGTACTGCTTGTACCGTGGTGGTCCTTAACTCCAAAAACACCACTTGCTTATTGACCTCATACCACTATGGCCCATCTGTTGAGTGGTCCTGACATGCTGAACATGTTATTTTTTATTAATATCTCTCAAAATAATAATTTGTGTAAAATATAACTTCAAATATTTACTTTAGCTGCTTGGCAGAACTCAGCCATTTACTTATTTCTTATCATACGAGTGCTGGATCACCCAAGATGTGACGGATGTGTAAGTAAGCGGGTCACCAGCAACAATAGCCTTGTTAGCCAGGCAAGCACCAGACAAGGTTGACCCAGGGCCAGGCTCCTGGAGTAGGAAAACTTTCAAAACTAAACATTTAAAATATTACATTAAATCCAAAATTACATCAAGAGATTTTTTGATAGTGTTTATGAAGTTGTGTGGAGATAGTTGTTTTTATCTTTCATGTAGGTTGTTCCAGATTTTGGGTCCTTGATTTGCAGGGAATGTTGGCTCACTTTACTGAGTGCTTTTGTCAGAGACCAGACTTGCTATGCTTTTGCTGAAATATGTTAGGATGTTAAGTTTATACCCTATTCATTCAGTGATTCTGGGGCTTGCCGTCCCCACAGCATGGTTTCATACCAGGCCTCATAGGGAGGAAAGGAAATAGTGGAGGATGACTTGCCAGAGTGCAAAACAGTTAACAGGTTTCCATTTCACACTTAACAAAACATTAGTACCTCTCTGGATAGTCGCTGTCTGTGGTAGTAAATCTGTGAAAATGATATACAGTGGACCCCCGCATAATGATCACCTCCGAATGCGACCAATTATGTAAGTGTATTTATGTAAGTGCGTTTGTACGTGTATGTTTGGGGGTCTGAAATGGACTAATCTACTTCACAATATTCCTTATGGGAACAAATTCGGTTAGTACTGGCACCTGAACATACTTCTGGAGTGAAAAAATATCGTTAACCGGGGGTCCACAGTAATTGTAATCTTATATGTACAGGAGGGTCCCACTTATACAGTACGTCAGGTTTTGGGCTACTGCTGTAAAGTGAAAATAACTGTAAAGTGAAATATAACCTTTTTTACTTTCCAATGCATATAAAAAGCCTGATATTTAGTGAGCAATAGAGCTAGACCTAAAAAATGCACATACAGTAAAATATTTTTGTCCTTAGCTTATAGCGAGTGGTGAATATATTTATTGTAGGATGTCTGAATAAATGAAGAATGGGTATAACTGAAAACTGCTGCATTAGTGAAATGCTGTAAAGTGGGGCCTGCCTGTATTACAAATATGTACTATAATCCCTGTAATGGAAAGACTAATGTAAAATTTCATTCCTGGTGTGCAGAAGTTATCTTTAGGGGCATGCAGTAAAAAATTGCTCAAGATGTAGATGGAATGTACATAAAATCTGGGACTAAGAGGCAGTGAGGGACAAAGAGGAGTCTCTCATTTGCAGAATATTGAGCCAAGTCTTGAAATCTCTTTAAAATAAAGAAAATGTCTCAGCCTCAAAGTTTAGGGATAGATGTAGAAATTCTTCGTCGTCTGAGCAGGAATCGTTTGGTGAGAGTTCTAGAGGATGCACCTGGGGCCAAAGATTTGATCATTGATGGTGATCTTATGAAGATGCTTGACCGCATCTCTGGAGCAACACTTTTAAGGTTAGTGTGAATTCAGCTATAATCTTCAGGCAAAGGTAGTGTGTTGAAATTCATTGGTAGAATTCATACCTATGAGAGTAACAATTAAAAAAAATAGGGCAAGAGTTATGGTCATTTTTGCTTTGTATAGTATTTCTTTCTATTTTGATACTGCCAAAAAATTTGCCAGTCTTTGCAAGGTACTGTAATTATTATAATTATATTACATGCTCCCAAATTGTGTGAGAAAGAGCATTATTTCTAACTGCGGTTTCTATCCTCACCCATGGTATGGTTTATTATCTTATTTTGCCAGGAGGATATTTTATGCCTGCCTTCTTTTTCTCTAAAGAGTTGTCCACAGATTTCTGTATTCAGTTATTTAATTTTAAATAATTACATAAGCCATTGATTTAATGAATCTTAATTTAGTGGACTTTGGAAATTTGGGACAATTCTGCTCTACCAGTTGATTTGGAAACAACAGACAAAGTCTGTTGGTTACAGAGTTGTCATATGTTATGATCTCAGCAAAATACTCCTGTCTCTTCCTCTCTCTCAACCACAGTCACCATTACCAGGCACCTGTTCCCCTCTATTACTAGTTTCTTAAACCTAAGGTTTACTTTTACACCATTGTTAATCATCTGTATTTTTAAATTGACTTGATACAGTACCATAACTTATACCAAATTTGCTGCCCATATTTACCTAGCAGCCCAGTTTGCTGCCCTTGTTTACCTAGCAGTAAGTAAGTACATGTATCTGGTTTTTGTGTGTTAGTTGACTATTGTAGGTAACTTCCTGAGGATAGTCAGATGTTTGGTTAGGACAGGCTCAAAAAGCCGAGGACTTCCTGGAAATTTAAAAACAGTTATTTGATAATCAAATATTAAATTAATAAAATACTGAGGACTCACTATGAGCATAACTCTGCTTCTTAAGCTACAAATTAATAATTAGAGGTACAGATACTCCTTGCTTTACGATAATTAGACATAGGATATTTTGACTACGATGGTGCAGTAGCAAGGCACATTCTGCACTGTACAGTACCGTACATTTATTGATAGGATAAACTTGTATTTATTTATTTACTCTTCAGTACTGGTATTTAGTAATTATTTGTTTATTTACTTATTCAGTGACAGTAGTTATTTACTTATCATATCATACGATATTTTCAACTTTAGTGGGTTCTTCAGAACATAACCCTATCGTAAGTTGAGAAGCACCTATATTGTTAACCAAAACCACTTTATATATTTCTTGAACACCACCTTTTCATTTTTAGGAGCCATGGAGTAGAAAAAATGTACAGATTAGACCGTCTGCCGCCTCCTGTGCAGAGCGCTCAGCGTGTGTATGTGGTGCAGCCGTCTCTAGTAGCTCTCAAATATGTGGCGGATCATGTGCATTCTGATAAGCTCAATCATCCAGATATAAAGTAGGTTGCAACTGTAGTACTTACTGTACTTTTTTATTTTGACAAACTGGATGTAGAGCAGAGATGATGGATTAAGGTTTAATCTACAGTACTGTAATGTATTGATATGAAATCAATTTTTTTTTTTATCCTTCACAGTTACAAGCTTGCCTCGCATGGGCCAATAGGCCTGCTGCAGTGTTCCTTCTTTCTTATGTTCTTAATTATTTGTTAGATGACTGTAATTAGGCTGGCCATTTCCAAATCTCCAAAAAGGAGGACACATCCACTACATGTATATACTGTATACATAGATATAATGAATCCTAGGTAGTAGGTTGGTAGACAGCAACCGCCCAGGGAGGTACTACAGTCCTGCCAAGTGAGTGTAAAACGAAAGCCTGTAATTGTTTTACATGATGGTAGGATTGCTGGTGTTCTTTTTTCTGTCTCATAAACATACAAGGTTTCAGGTACGTCTTGCTACTTCTACTTACACTTAGGTCACACTACACGTGCGTGTACAAGCATATATATACACACACCCCTCTGGTTTTTTGCTATTTTCTTTCTAGTTCTTCTTCTTGTTTATTTCCTCTTATCTCGATGGGGAAGTGGAACAGAATTCTTCCTCCGTAAGCCATGCGTGTTGTAAGAAGCGACTAAAATGCCAGGAGCAAGGGGCTAGTAACCCCTTCTCCTGTATAAATTACTAAATTTAAAAAGAGAAACTTTTGTTTTTCTTTTTGGGCCACCCTGCCTCAGTGGGATAAGGCTGGTTTGTTGAAAAAAGAAAGAAAGAAAGATATAATGAGTGTACTTAGTATATATACAAAATGAATCTGCATTTTTACTTCATTGTATTATAACAGCCAAAATATGCAAATTACTAAATTCTAGTACGTTCTTACCGAATTAATTGCTAAAGCCTTAAGCCTGGAGATTTAACCTAAATCAAACATGTTGTATAATGAGTTGAAATGTATAAAAAGTTGTAGAAAATACAGTGGTACCTTGCCTTACGAGTTTAATTTGTTCTATGACCCAGCTCATAACTCAATTTGCTCGTATATCAAATAAATTTTCCTCATTGAAATTTATTGAAATGCCATTAATCTGTTCCAGTGGAATTCCTGGCTCTCAGGAGACAGGAGAAAATACTTCAATATAACACTAATATCAACTCTATGGCTTATTTATCCATCACAATTGATCTAATATGACATAATAAACAATATAAATAACATAGAAACATGATACATACTCTAGAATGAATAAAATATGTCATTATGTGATGAGTGGTGGCAGCCACTCCCAAGGTAAAAATAATTCTTGCCCTTTTGAGGTCTTATTATAAGAGAAAACAGAGTGTATGTGAGGCTAACTGCACTAGATCACTAGTTTCATAAGGAAGACTCTGAAACAAAAGCGATTTTCTCGGATTTTTTTTTTCTCCTGAATCAGGAGACCTGCCTACATTTTGGGTGAATATCTCGGAAGTAAATCAGTGTAAATGCCTCATGCTTTCTCTGCGAGAAGGCACGAGGCCCAAAGTACATACTACGCTTGTACTGCCTCGCCAAGCCGACTACACGCACCCCTCGCTCGTGTTTTCTATGATTTCATGCTTTAATTCAATGGACATCATCCTCCTCCTCTTCTTCTCAGCACTGTCCTTTGCACTTACGTTCTTAGGAAACATGGTTAGAAAAAAGAAATTTGGCAAAATAACTGCACAAAACACAAGCACAACACAAGAGAGATGCTTCCACGGCGAGGTAACCATGTGCACTATTGTGGCATTCGCTGCACCAACTAGTGGCGGCGTATCTGAAGCTCGCTCATAACTCGGATTTTGGCTCACAATTCAAAGCAAAAAACCAACCGAGCAACGGCTCGTAACTCAGAAAACTCGTAAGTTGAGGCACACGTAAGTCAGGGTACCACTGTATACAAAATACATATACAGTGGACCCCCGAGTTTCGTGATTAATCCGTTCCAGAGAGAGCCTGCCGAAAGTCAAAATTCACGAAACTCGAAACCATTTTCCCCATAAGAAATAATGGAAATAAAATTAATCCGTTCCAGACACCCAAAAATATTAAAATAAATTTTTTTTTCAAATTAAATAAAGATTTATATACTGAAATCAATGAGAAATCAAGTACATACATATAAAAAATAATAATAACATTACACTTACCTTTACTGAAGACTTCTGAGTGGATAGAAGACGGGAGGAGGGGATAGGAGGAAGGTGTACACTATTGTTTGGAAGGAGAATCTCCTTCCATTAGGACTTTAGGTAGCAAGTCCTTATCTGGGGTTACTTCCCTTCTTCTTTTAATGCCACTGGGAACAACTCGAGAGTCACTGGACCTCTGTCGCACAAAATATCTGTCCAGAGAGGTCTTTTTCTGGTGTTTCTTTAAGATTTCCCTGAAGTGGGACACAGCACTGTCATTGTACATGTTGCAGATATGGCTTGTTTCAGCTTGGTCAGGGTGATACTTTTTAACAAAACTTTGCAACTCATTCCACATTCCACACATGTCCTTAATCACTGAAGAAGGAACCTCCTTCACTCTCTTTTCCTCCTCCTCTGAAGCAAGATCCTCGGCTGTGGTCTGATGCTGTTCCAGTTGAAGCTCTTGCAGTTCATCAGTGGTTAGCTCTTCCCTGTGGTCCTCCACCAACTCTTCCACATCCCCGTCACTCACCTCCAACCCCATGGACTTGCCCAATGCCACAACACCTTCCACAACAGGCAGAGGGTCAGCAGGGACAGGGTCTGCCTCAAACCCTTCAAAATCCCTCTGGATCGTGTTCCTCACTTTATTTACCAAAGGGCTTGCACTGGCTTTCCTTGGGTCCACGATGACTTATTTAGCAGTTGCCAGCACAAAAAACAATGGATTATTGTGAAATGTATTGTATGAACCCACGGGGTGATGGTCACGTGTTGGTAAACAGTGACACACTGAGCGTGAATGGCATGGGAGACTGGCTTGGTGTGCGTGGTGACGGGCGGACGGGTACTGGACAGTCGCCGAAACACGAGTCTAATCACGAAACTCGAGGCCAAATTTTGCCAAAAAAACTTGCCGAAGGTTGAATTTCACGAAACTCAATGCTGCCAAAACTCGAGGGTCCACTGTATCTAGGAGAATTATTTATTTGTCAAATGTCACCATAATGTGATGAATGCTATTTTGTGGTATTTTTTCTGTTTACCCTTAAACTGTCCAAACGTAGATCTACGTTGATGTACGTAGCACTCCAAACGTAGATCTACATTTTTTCCACATAAGAAGGCATGTAAAATCAAACGTAGATTTACGTTCGGAGTGCTACGCACGTCTAAATAGGTGTACGTTTGAACAGTTTCTGCGTTAAAGTCAAATTTTCCTCATTGCGGCCTTCAGCAGACTGACCGTCACAGACTCCAATGGGTACTTGATTGATAGTTTGACTTGTCTCATATACTGTGGCTCTTCGTGTAATGTTGCCAATGACAACTACATAAAATTAAAATATAAATGCATCACTGGTTATTGTGGCCTTCAGTTCCCACTGTTTTAGTATATGTGAGGTAATTTGTATAATTCTTTTTTTAGACAGGCCCTAAAAAGAAGGACAAATTAATGTCCTACTTGAGGTGGCGCAGGACGCAGGACAGAGGACAGAGTGCACAAAAGCAGGACTGTCCTCCCTGCAGGACATCTGACCACCCGAACTGTAATACATCAACTCTATGTCACTTCAGTTTTAGGTTGAATTTTGTCCTTAAGGGAACAATAATAAAAGTTATTCAATCACCTTATTTTTTAACACACCACGGCCCTCACATGAAGCGGTGACCTGAAAAAGAAGAAACAAAATTTTTCTTCATTGTCATTTAGTAATTTATGCAGGGGGGGGTTTACAAACCCATAGACACACGGGTTATGGGAAGGATTCTTTTTTACTTTCCCAGGGAATTAACTTTCTCGCCCCTTTTTTCATTTCTTCTAAATTTTTTTTCCCAATGCTTAAATTTTTTCCAAAAAGGGGGTATATATAATAGCTGTAAAAGACAATTTTATCATTATATTTTTTTTTTTTTTTTGAGTGAAGTAATTATTTTTTTTTTTTATTTATCACACGGGCCCTTTCCCCCCAAAGGGCAGGGGGGCCCAAAAAAGGAAAAACTTTCACCATATTCACCCCATACTGTCTTGCCAGAAGGGTGCTTTACACTACAGTTTTAAAAACGCAACATTAAACCCCTCCTTAGAGTCGGGCACTGAACTTCCCATCTCCGGGACTCAAGCCCGGCCTGCCGGGTTTCCCTAAACCCCTTTCTAAAGTTATTTTGCCACACTCCAAAGCAGTCAAGTATTAAAAAACCTTTTTGTCTCCATTCCTCCTATAAAACACCTCACGCATGCCTGCGGGAAGTAAAACCCCCTCGCACAAAAAACCCTCCCTTTCCCCCCTCCCTCCCCCCTTCCTGGGCCACCCCTACCCCGCCTTCCTTCCACTACAGACTGATATCTCTTGAAGTCTTTCTGTTTCCCCATTCTCTCTACTTTCCAACCACCTCAAAAACCCTTTTTCCTCAGCCTCTGGACAAATTTTTTGGTAATCCCGACCTCCTCCTAATTTCCCAAAAAACACAAAATTCCTCATTTATTCACACCACACATTGCCCTCAGACATGACATCCCACGCCCCACCTTCTCCCGCTGCAACTTTCATCAACCCCCCCCTTTCACACCCATATAAGCGTTGGTAAAACAACTCTCAACTTTCCCCCTTTTTGCTCCAAGGACAAAGTTCTTTGTCTCCACAACTCCTAAGTGCACCATTCACTCTTTTTCCCTCAAAATTTTCAATGTTTCACCTCATCTTTCATGACCCATCCGTGCACGTCCACTTCCCAAATATCTGAATACTTTTCACCCCTCCATACTCTCTCCCTCCAATCTATTTCAATCTTTCACACCTAATCTTTTTTTATCCTCAAAACCCTTACTTTTCCGTTTTCACCTTAATTTTCTTTTTTTGCACCCCCTACCAAATTCATCCACCAATCTCTCATTCTTTTCAGAATCTCCAAGAGCACAGTGTCATCAGCAAAGAGCACTGTAAACTCCCATTTTGTGTGTGTTCTTTATCTTTTAAACTCAACCCCTTTTGCCAAACCCTCGCTTTTTACTTCTCTTACAAAACCCCATCTATAAAAAATTTTAAACAACCAGGGGTGCATCCACATCCTTGCTAAGGCCCTCCCTTACGGGGAAAAATTTCCCCTCTTTCCACATACTCTAACTTGAGCCTCACTATCTCGAAAAACTCTTCACTGCTTTCGAAAACCTACCTCCTACACCATACACTTGCAACATCTCCACTTTTTCCCCCCCTTCCCACCTGCATACCCCTTTTAAATCCTAAAGCACAAAGATCTTTACCCTTATTAAATATGTTCACTTATATGTTTACGTAAACACCTGGTCCCACACCCCCTCCCCTTTCCTAAAGCCTCCTTTTTTCATCTGCTTCCTATTCTCCGTTTTACTCTAATTTTTTAAATTTTAACTCTCCTACACCTTCCCCGGTCACTCAACAGATTTACCCCCCCTATAATTTTTGCACTCTCTTTTACCCCCTTTGCTTTATACAAAGGAACTATGCATGCCTCTCCAACCCTGGGTACCTTACCCTCTTCCATACTTTTTATTAAATAATTGCCCCAACCCCCCAAAAAACTATATCCTCACCTTTTTTAACATTTCTATCTTTATCCCCAATCCCGGCTGCCTTTACCCCTTTTCATTTTCCCTACTCCCTCACAAACTTCCCCCACACTCACAAGGGCTTTTCCTCACTCCACAAGATTTATTCCTCCTTGCCCTATAACGAAATCACGTTTCCCCTATCTTCATCAAATTTAAAAATTCCTCAAAATATTCCCTCCATTTCCAATACCTCAACTCTCCATTTATAACTCTCCCCCTTTTTTTTAATGACAAATCCTTGTTCCTCTGCTTTTTTTTAATTTTTAATCCACCCAAAACTTTTTCTTATATTTCAACAAAATTTGTTATACATCATAACCCACTCGTCATTTGTCATCTTTTACTTGCTTCACCACTCTCGTTAACTTCTCTTTTCTCCATTACTCTTCCTCCTGCATCATTCTACTTTGAAAAACTTCTCATATGCTACTTTATCTCCCTTACTACTCTTACATCACTCCCAATCGTCCTTCCCTGCACGCCGCTTTCTGTAGAACCACAACTTCTGCTGAACCTCTAACACAAATTTTTTAAACCTACCCATATCTGCGACCCCATTTCCTATGCTCTCATTACCCATCTATCCCCCAAATACGTTTATATCTACCTAACTGCCTCCTCTAGTTTATAACCTTCACCTTCTCATCTCCTCCTGATGCTACTATTCACCTTGTATCCCATCTACTTTACTCTCAGTGTAGCTACACTAGAAAGTGATCTGATTATCTGTGCCCCTCATAAACATGTACATCCTGAAGTCTACTCAACAGTCTTTATCTACCATACATAATCCAACAACTACTGTCATTTCGCCTACATCATTCGGTATACTTATTTATCCTCTTTTTTAAAATATGTATACTATAATATAACCCCTTCTATACAAGTTCAATCAAAGGGGCTCCTATTATCATTTACACTTGCACCCCAAACTTACCTACCAAACACCTCTCTAAGGTTCCCTACTTTAGCTTTCAGGTCCTACCACAATTACTCTCTCAATTTGTTCAAAGGCCTCCTATACATTCACCCTTAACACTCCCAAAATACTCTATCTCCTCTGCTTTATCTTCTTCTCCAGTGCAACACGCTTATTAATGACCCACTTCTCGCATCCACCTTTACTTTAATCCACATAATTCTTGAATTTACACTATTCATATCTCTTTCTCTCATAATGATACATTTAACATTACTGTACCATTCCTTTGCTCTAACTACTCCAGATACTCCAGATTTTAATCCCATTATTTCCCCCACTGAACTCTCTACCACCCTTCATCTTGTTCGCTAGGCATACATCAACTTTTTTCATTCATAACTATCCAAAAAGATCTGTATTCTTGTCATCCGCACTACATCAAAATTTTTTTGGACCAGTTTATATAAACATTATTATGTAAATATTTTGGATAACACAAAGAACTAGTGAAAAATAGTCTTAAATGTTTAGCTTCTTGTGTGTTTTAGTTCAACAGAAATTCTCCTGTCTAAAAGGTTTTATGAGGAGATATACAAAGCACCAACAGTCTTCATTATTACTTACAATATTCAGTCTGTCCTCATGGTTACAACTTGAAAACAATGTACATGTACTGTATTTACTCAGTATGTTATAAAACATGCTTATTAATATCCCTTTATATAGTACCTACAAGTATGATGTGTCTTGTTTTGCATCCAAAACAGTGTGCAACTGAAAAGGATGTACAGTATTTGAACACACGAGAGGGAATAAATAGGTCCAGAAACATAATGTATATCGTCAGTATGTCAGCACTGTGTGTGACTTTCAGAACGAGAACAGACTGCAGCATTACTCTGTGTTAAAATAAAGATTTCTTTGTACCCAGAAGGAAAAAAGCTAGATTATTGGAGAAGGGTGTGCATGGGAGCACTGCATATAACACTCCATTAGTTCACTCTCAAGCTTATCCATATACTCTCTCAGCATTCATTTGGTGATAGTGCCTCGCCTTGTGTCATGGGTAACGCCACTGTTGGAGGAAGAGGGTTTGTATGGGGCTGTTACACTCCATGAGTTTACCCCTGACTTCATCCCACTTGATGATGATCTCCTTTCCTTGGAAATGACCAGCTTCTTCAGGTAGGTCCTGGCACTGATGCCCTATTTTCTGTACATCTCTGTATGTGCTGTACCAGTATATTGTATACTGTCAGCTCCAGGAAAAACATAGAAAATCTCAAAAATACAGTGGACCCCCGGTTAACGAACTTTTTTCATTCCAGTAGTATGTTCAGGTGCCAGTACTGACCGATTTTTTTCCCATAAGGAATATTGTGAAGTAGATTAGTCCATTTCAGACCCCCAAACATACACGTACAAACGCACTTACATAAATACACTTACATAATTGGTCGCATTTGGAGGTGATCGTTAAGCGGGGGTCCACTGTATAATTATTTTGTTATTACTGTGTATGCATCAATTATTTCTATACATTTTTCAGCAAAGAATGATAAACTTAAAATGATAACTAAGGAAAAGCATGCATATATAGTATATACTGTGCTGTACATTATTTTCCTGAATATTGTTAGACATATTGAATATCTTGTCATAAATATAACTAATTGGCAAGGATAGTGAATTTAAAGAAATGTTAAAAATATATGAAAATACTGTTCAGTGTATTAGAAAATGAAAGTTGACCTTTTTTAAATCGCATATGTTTTGTGTATACATTTTATAATAATGTTCAAATTATTGCTTGTATTTAATGTATTTGATGTCTTTTAAAAGATAAATGAGAATTTATCTGTCAATTATAGTGGCCAGTATTGCATTTTCAGAAATGCTTTCTTGGAAGGGGATTTTTCTGGATGTATAAGTGTGGCTCGTGCAATCAACACCCTGCAGGGTCTTTATGGTCGCATTCCAAATGTAGTTGCTCATGGAAGAGCAGCTAAGGCAGTCATGAATGCCCTTGAAGTTCTAAAAGAACAAGAGTCACCCAAAAAAATGCCTCAGGTATGTGGACTTTTGGATATTTACTATCTTATTTATTTTTAGGGGTTACCATAATTTAATTATCATCAGTAAATAGTAATAAGTACAGTATGAAGAAGTGGTTTCCAGCCAGTTGTACACATACAGTTAGCAGCACAAGTACAACAGGGGTTCATATAAAACTAGTGCATGAAAATTATCCATATTGTTCAGACAAAGGATGTTATGGTGTTAAGTGACATGTATATAAAAGAGATAATTGCCTTGTCTGACACATCTTTACTGAAGACACTAATTTATACTTCTATTTTTTTTTTTTTTTTTTTAACAAGTTGGCCGTCTCCCACCGAGGCAGGGTGACCCAAAAAAGAAAGAAAATTCCCAAAAAGAAATGCTTTCATCATCATTCAACATTTTCACCACACTCACACATAATCACTGTTTTTGCAGAGGTGCTCAGAATACAACAGTTTAGAAGCATATACGTATAAAGATACACAACATATCCCTCCAAACTGCCAATATCCCAAACCCCTCCTTTAAAGTGCAGGCATTGTACTTCCCATTTCCAGGACTCAAGTCCGACTATATGAAAATAACCGGTTTCCCTGAATCCCTTCACTAAATATTACCCTGCTCACACTCGCACTATTTATTTATACTAAAAGATATTTTAAAGATCAAGTGTTGCAAGAACAAAATACTGAAAGTGATTTTGTACTTCCTGTGAGCAGTGTATCTCAATAAACAGACTCAGATGTCAGACTGAAGCTGCAGATCTAGTCAAAAGTTAAAGAAATATTATACTGTATTAATACTTTTTTTATGTGAAGAAACATTACATTATATTTTGCACATAATTCTCTAGGTTTAGTAATACAGTATCATACCTGTGGAATCTACAGGGCAGTACTGCACGGTATTTAATTTCAGAGTAGCTTACTGTGTTAAAGCTTGATAGGACTGTAGTGTGTTCAGTTAAATTTAAGACAATATACAGAGAAGTTACTGGTATGAATCCTGCAGGTGGGATTAACAATGCCTACACTCTGAAGGAGGGGTGGGGTGGGGTGAGGATGTTGCTATTCAGAGGGGGTATGTAAAGTGTGATGTCCACACACCTTTGGCTATTCAGCTGTTGAATGAATGATTATGAATGTATGTTCTTTTTATTTGGGAAGGGGGTCATATTACCTTGGTGGGAGATACCTGGAGGGGGTTTCGGGGTCAACGCCACAGTGGCCCGGTCTGTGTCCAGGCCTTGTGGTGGATCAGGGAATGATCAACCAGGGTATTACTGCTGGCAAAAGTAGTGAAAAAATAAAGTAATAATTTTATTTCTAAGTAGATAAATTTGTTTCAGATTGTGGTTAACAGTAGTAATTTTGTACATGGAAAAAACCCATAGTTATATAAAGCATTTCAGGCATACTTAAACTAGAAGTCATACTAATGAAGCATAAGAATGTATCATAGAGTATATACAACACAGATGTAAAGTAAATCCTCTAATTAATGGACTAGTGGGAGAGAATGGGTGGACAGTAATGGTCATTAGGGTGGAGATGAGCTTTGCTGTGATCATAACAATAATGAACAATTCTGCAGCCAGCAGGGTTTGCCCTCTTCTCTCTGAATCAGTTAACCCAGCACATTTTGTCTTGTATCTCCAAAGTCCATTAAATTGAGGTCCATTAACCCGTAAACGGTCCAAACATATATATACGTTTTTTCAACATTTGAAAGTATGTAAAAAAAGTAGATCTTTTTTTTTTTTTTTTACATTTGAAAATGTGTAAAAAAACTTTAATCTACTTTTTTTTTGTTATATTTGAAAATATGTAAAAAAAACGTAGATCTACTTTTGTAGTACTACACATGTGAACGTAGATCTGCTTGGACCGTTTACAGGTTAAATCAATGGTTTGCTTATATAAATGAAAAGCACTTCACATGGCAATACTAAACCTTATGAATGTAATGGTAATTTAGTGAATACACTTGAACACAAAAGCAATTACTAATGAAAAAATATTTTTGGTTTAATGAACTTTGTGTAGATATTGAGGTATTCCTTATTTTTACTAGCTGACTTTATTTTTAACAACTCTTGGAAGCTGTCTAAAGAAACTTCTGTAATAGCCAGTTATGATCTTGTGGACTTTCCTCATATACAGCCTCTCCTCACTTAGCGAGGTACTCGTTTACCGACAACTCAGATTTACAACGGGCTCTCTGACCAGTGTGAATACCTATATAATGTACACTATATTAGAGCTGATTTTCTCTATTCTGTTAATTACAATATATAGTACAGTACTGTATAAACATTTAAAAATATACCAGAAATGTTATAAATGGTGCAAAGATGACATTAAAACAATATCAAAGATGGTTGGTGCAAACCCACTACTATCATAGTACGTATGCTCCTCACTTAGTGAAGAATTCGTTTACCAACATGGTCTCAGGAACAGAACTCCGTCTTTAAGTGAGGAGAGGCTATATACTTTAACAGTGTCTCATTTCATGATGTTGATTCATTACCAATCACCATGTCTGTAGACGTCTAACTCATCATTTAAGTATTGTAATTTGCTCGCCTACCCCATATTTAATATCTTTGTCCTATACCATTCTGCATGTATTTCTTTATTAAGTCATATTTGGGTGCCTCTTCAAAGTCAGTGATTATGTGTGAATGATGGTGAAAGTGCTACTTTCTTTTTTAGTCACTTTGCTGGCTTGGATGGAGATGGCAGGTAGCACTCTAAAAGAGAAATGAGTATGTTGCAGTTTGGAGAGCATTCCGAACTGTGATGCCAGTACACATCTGGCACGAATCTTGCACAGGAATGCTGTGAATGTGTTTGCGTTTCTTTGGATCACCTTCCTCAGTTGGAGATGACGGATGTGTTATGGAAGATTCACAGCTTGGACTTTTGATATTTTTATTTATTTATTAACACATTGGTTGTTTCCCACCAAGGCAGGGTGGCCCGAAAAAGGAAAAACTTTCATCATCATTCACTCCATCACTGTCTTGCCAGAGGCATGCTTACACTACAGTTATAAAATTGCAACATTAACACCCCTCCTTCAGAGTGCAGGACACTTAACTTCACCATCTCCAGGGACCAAGTCCTCTGGTCAATTCCCTGAATCCCCTCATGTTACCTTGCTCACACTCCAACAGCAGGTCAAGTCCTAAGAACCATTTGTCTCAATTCGCTCCTATCTAACACGTGAACGCTTACACACAAAACCTCTTTGACCCCCTCCCTCTAACCTTTCCTAGGCCAACCCCTACCCCACCTTCCCTCCACTACAGATTTATGCACTCTCAAAGTCATTCTGTTTTGTTCCATCCTCTCTACATATCCAGACCACCTCAGCCCTCTGGATGATAGTTTTGGTAATCCCACACCTCCTCCTAATTTCCAAACTATGAATTCTCTGCATTCACACCACACATTGCTCTCAGACATGACATCTCCACTGCCTCCAGCCTTCTCCTTGTTGCAACATTCACCACCCATGTTTCACACCCATATAAGAGCATTGGTATAACTGTACTCTCATACATTACCCTCTTTGCTTCCATGGACAAAGTTCTTTGTCTCCACAGACTCCTCAGTGTACCACTCGCCTTTTTCCCCTCATCAATTCTATGATTCACCTCATCTTTCATAGACCCATCTTTCTCTTGTCTTTTCTCTGTATTTGCACAGATCATCTCCAGTACTTCAATGCTAATTTCACTTTTAAACTTTATCCCATTTTGCTCCTATTTTGTAAGGTAAAAGAAAATCTAGCACTTTGTTCTTTACTTCATTACAGAAAGTAGTGAATGAATTCAACACAGTGTGCAGTATAAGAAATTTAAAGGTAAATGCTTTTAAATATAAGGCCACTATCCATTAATGGCCAAATGTCCATGTAAATGGTACAGAAACAGCCACCAGGTAATATGCAGTACATTCATGGCAAGCTCTCCACCTCTTAGTGCTTGGCAGATTTGACTCCTGGTGAGAGTGAGGTTATTAAATATTTACATGTATGTCTTGCCTAGGTAGTAGGTTGGTAGACAGCAACCTCTCAGGGAGGTACTACCGTCCTGCCAAGTGAGTGTAAAACGAAAGCCTGTAATTGTTTTACATGATGGTAGGATTGCTGGTGTCCTTTTTTCTGTCTCATAAACATGCAAGATTTCAGGTACGTCTTGCTACTTCTACTTACACTTAGGTCACACTACACATACTTTCTTTCAACACACCAGCCGTATCCCACCGAGGAGGGGTGGTCCAAAAGGAAAAATGAAAGTTTCTCCTTTTACATTTAGTAACATATACAGGAAAAGAGGTTACTAGCCCCTTGCTCCCGGCATTTTAGTCGCCTCTTACAACACGCATGGCTTATGGAGGAAGAATTCTGTTCCACTTCCCCATGGAGATAAGAGGAAATAAACAAGAATAAGAACTAGAAAGAAAATAGAAGAAAACCAAGAGGGGTGTATATATATGTGCTTGTCCATGTATGTGTAGTGTGACCTAAGTGTAAATAGAAGTAGCAAGACGTACCTGAAATCTTGCATGTTCATGAGACAGAAAAAAGGACACCAGCAATCCTACCATCATGTAAAACAATTACAGGCTTTCGTTTTACACTCACGTGGCAGGATGGTAGTACGTACCTCCCTGGGCGGTTGATGTCTACCAACCTACTACCTATAACTACACATACATGTACAAGTATATATATACACACACCCCTCTGGGTTTTCTGCTATTTTTTTTCTAGTTCTTGTCCTTGTTTATTTCCTCTTACCTCCATGGGGAAGTGGAACAGAATTCTTCCTCTGTAAGCCATGCGTGTTGTAAGAGGCGACTAAAATGCTGGGAGCAAGGGGCTAGTAACCCCTTCTGTATACTATATTACTAAATGTAAAAGAAGAAAGTTTTGTTTTTCCTTTTGGGCCACCCCGCCTCGGTGGGATACGGCCGATGTGTTGAAAGAAAGAAGAATGTATGTCTTGATTTGTAGAACTGTTTTTTATTATCAAAAGGATGGGAGGACATTTAAATTCTTAGATGCATGAACCTCAACGTATCTTATGTATGTTCACCTTTAAATGGCATAAAATTGAAAATTACTCCAATAATCAGGAGTATTGTGCAATTTTTCAAGTATGACACAAGATTTAATGGGGTCTTAATTCCATATTATGTGTGCTTTTTTTATTGTCATGAAAATTATAATGTTTTTTGTTATTTTCTGTACATACCTGTAATGCATTTAACTTTTATTGATTTTCTTCTGTGTTAGTTTAATTACTTTCCATGTGTTTTTCAGGCACCAGAGATTGGCATCTCTTCATATTTGATCGTGATGCTGACTATGTAACCCCGCTTCTCACTCAGCTGACATATGAAGGTGTATTAGATGAATACTTTGGCATTCAAGCTGGAGTTGTGGAGTTTCCAGCAGATGTTGTGGGGCAGGATAATCCTCGGAAGGTGCCACTCAATAGCAAAGACACTATTTATGACAATATACGCAACAGACATTTTGCTGGAGTATCAAGCTACCTGATCACAAGGGCTCGTGAGGTTAAAGCAAAGAAGGATCAAGCTCAGAATATGACTACTGGGGAAATGAGAGATTTTGTGGCAAATGAACTGCGTACACTACAGGCTCTGCAAGCAACACTTGGACTGCATTTAAAAGCATGTGAAGCTATCACAAAATCTATGAGGCGAGATTTTGAGACTCAGCTTTCGACAGAGCATGGATTAGTGACTAGAGCAGGGAATTCAGGCAAAGCTCAAAAATTTTTAAAAGATTGCTTGGCTCGCATGTTACCTCTTGCAGGTAACCTCCGTCTACTCTGCCTCTACTCACTCACGCAAGATGGTATCTCCCGTCGAGAGTATGAAGATATTGCATCTCAAGTTTTGACAGCTCATGGCCATAAACACCTGATCACTCTTCATCATCTTCGTCAGCTTGGGATGCTTGCTGTTGCTGACACATCAAGTGTCAGTACTGTGAACAATGCTCCCTTACAGGATCGTTTAGCACAAGTAACTTCTTTGTTACCTAAAAAAGGGTTTGGCTGGCGCTCAGCTGCAAAACGTTTACGCCTCATTCCAGATGCTGATGAGCCAGTTGATCTCCACAATCCCACTCATATGAGCTATGTTTATAATGGTGCATACACACCAGCTATTCCAAAAGTGGTTGGTGATGCTTTATCTGGACGAGGTGTCCAGTATCTCTCAGACAACTTGAAGGTCTTACCTGGGACCACAACAATCACTACACCACCTGCAGGCTCCCCAAGTGGTCCTCGTGTGGCACTGGTGGTGGTGTTGGGTGGAATAACATTCGCAGAAGTTGCAGCATTCAGGCTGCTGGCATTGACATCGGCAACAAGAATTATCTTGGCTTCCACTAACACTGCTACTGGTGCCCAGCTTGTAGCAGCTGCTGTCCATGAATGATTGTTTTAAGCTTTCATGTATTCATTTACCATATACGTGCTTGCAAATCTTTTTTTTATAGCAGTAAAGTGGAGAATGGAGATAAACAGAAAATCAGTACATAGTCTCTCTAAAAAAAAAAGATACTCAGTATTAGTAAAAGTCTTCAAAAATATTCATATATACTCATATCATGCCTAAGACTTTTACATCACCCAAATGCTTCATGATTGTTGTGTGTTCACATAAGTACATTGATTTCTATCTGTTCACACCAGGAGCAGCACCATCTGTACTGAGAGGGCTTAGGGGTGACTATCTGATTGGAAGGAGGGGCTAGGAGATTTATTTTGAAGCATCATTGTTATACTTATTTTATCTAGGGGCTGGGGGAATTCTTTAGGGGTTGAAACCCCCCTGAGCCTTTACCTTGGTGCTGCCCTTGACTCACAGCATACCTAAAGTTTGGAGAGGAAACTTTAGACTATATTAGAGTTATCCTGGACCATTATCAAGTCACAAATATTCCAGATTATTATTACATGTATTATATTTAAAATAAGTGTTAAAACTGCATAAGTCATACAGCAAGTAGTCTAGATAAATGATCCAGGCCAGACTGAAACATCATCTTAGGGTTTCCTCAAATTATGATTTAATTAGGAATTGTTTCAGCCACAGTACTGTGACATAGTCCTCACTCAGTTGTATGCTCAGTGCCTCTTTACTGTGTAATCTCTCATTTATCCCCTGGCATACTCTTCATATTATTAGACTTTTAGTGACACATTAACTCATTTTTACTAAATATCACTGATCACATACACAAAACTCTTCACTCCATCATTAAAGAACAATGAAGGGATTACTGGACTTTTATTTTAGACCCTTGTGGTTACTCAGGAGCCTGTAAAGCCCATTGAATCTCTGCAATTATTTTATTTAAGCCTTGTACTGTTTGATGATTGTGAGGCTCTTATATTGTATTATTTGGATGCTCAGATTATTAATTTGTATACTGGATTTGTTAAAGAAGGATTTGTAGACAATTGTTATTGGGTTTTGAAAAAGTGCTTCCTATCAATTTTGAGGAAGGGTTATGTAAAATTGGCAGATTTATTTGATTTAATTACTAGGAAAGTCCCTCTCTAACAGATTTGCTTAAACTACTGTTACCACTGACAGTCAGTTTTTAAATGTTTAAATTCTGTATCAAATAATGGCTAATAATGCAATTAAGAGAAAATATCTGTGACTAGGATAGCCCCCACACATCAGTGTCCAGTGTGTGTGTGTGTGTGTGTGTGTGTGTCAAGTCTTATTTTGAGCTTTTAACCCTTTCAGGGTCCAAGGCCCAAATCTGGAGTCACGCACCAGTGTCCAAGAATTTAAAAAAAAAAAATTTGTTATTTTTTCTTATGAAATCGTAGAAAATCTTTTTGTGAAGGTAATAAAACAAAAAGTACGAAATTTGGTGGAAAATTGACGAAATTATGCTCTCGCAAATTTTGATGTGTCAGCGATATTTACGAATCGGCGATTTTGCCGACTTTGACTCCCATTTTAGCCAATTACATTATTCCAATCAACCAAATTCTTAGCTATTTCACTAGTATTACTTCTATTCTATCGATTGAGCACAAGAAATCGCCAAGTCAACTGTTTCAACTACAAAATAAAGTGATCGGAAATTGTTAATTTGGCCAATTTAACACAAAGTTCAAAATATTCCAATTTCAAAATAGGGTCCAGAATAAACAATGTAGGCATTCCTGGCACTAAACTAACATTTCCTCTGTTCATTAGTTATGTTTTGAGGCTTTACAAATAAATTCCATTTTGATTTTTTATTCACATAATGAATTTTTATTCACACCAAAAAATAGAAGATTTACTCTTATGCAATACTGTAATAATTGTATATAAATATCATCACCATATTTGTGAATGTATATTAGACCCACCAGCTGACGTGTATTAGATGTGTGAGGTAGTTTGTTTACTCTTGAATATCGGCAAAAATTTAACATTTCCGCTACTTTGAGCTCAGTTTCAAGCCATTTCCAGTGCTAAAACCAATCTGTAATATGTCTTCCATTCTATCAAATGAGACCAAGAAATCGCAAATACAACTATAAAAAACATACGAAAAAACACTGCAAAGTTGCTGTTTTAATCGAAAAATCATGATTTCAGTTTTTTTCTCTCATTATACACAGTGTGCTGCAGGATCTGTTTTATGGGGTGCACACATACCACATAGATGTATTCTCTCATATCTAGGCCCAAATGTACCACTCACAGTTTATCAGAGTGAGCTGAGCTCATGGCGTAGATCTACGGTTTGGACACTCACCGTAAAGCCGTAGATCTACGGGACGGACCCTGAAAGGGTTAAAGTAGGATGGTGCATGTTTAATGGGATCTTTTCCTGCATCTTAAGTAACTTAGAATATATCACTAACACTAAATATTTTTAAAAGAATCAAGCACTCTAATTTTGTTATCTATGAAGTGACCCCCTTGTGGTGGACACCATTTTTGCCAGAAAATGATGGGGGGTTGTGAGTTGCATGAATGTTATGGGCAAAACTAGCAGCTGTTTCCTATGCAGTTCTCTTCAAGGGGAGGATATAGTCATGTTAATGAAGGACTTTGGCTCCAAGTAATTCAAGTTAACTTCTCCCAACTTGGATCAGACCTAATTATCTCTTATTTCCCAGGTGCGTATGACCTCTGTGTGGTTGGTACTTCCCCATGAAAATGTAATAAAACCAATGCAGGGACTGACTAAGTTGCCTGCAAATCCAAGGACACTACAGTGTAGTGAACCTTTGTTGTTTAAATGGGGTGGAAAACGTAGCATCACATCTTATAATGCCATAGTATACGAAGAGGTAAGAAATGTCACGTGGCCAGGCCTGTTCCCTCTATGACAAGGTTTATTTCTGCCTATTTCATACTCCCACATAACTCACCATCCTGGCCCTCCTATGACCCCTTCCATTCCTACTACCCTGATATACAATGACCTCCAGGTGCTCTCTTTATATACACCTCCTTTGCCTCCTCTCTACATTAAATAATCCTACTAAGAGCTCTTCTACCTCCCCTACAATACGATGGTGGAGCCAGAGACTCACATATCCACTTTTTCCATATTAAAAGTTTCTGGCTGTACCAGTCTTGTGATGCAAGATGACTCACGAAATCGTAATGACACGATTGCAAACAAACCATACCCCGGCCGGGATTGAACCCGCGGTCAGAGAGTCTCAAAACTCCAGCCCGTCGCGTTAGCCACTAGACCAGTCTAGTGGCTAACGCAACGGGCTGGAGTTTTGAGACTCTCTGACCGCTGGTTCAATCCCGGCCGGGGTATGGTTTGTGATGCAATACAGTACTGTCATTTTGTTGTATTTTCTATGTCCTCTGTTTGAAATAAGCACAAAAATATGGGTCAGAAGAAAAAAATTGATCTTGCAGATTACTAAGTATAATAGATGGATAAAATTAAATTTTCACAGGTGATGAAATGCTTTTCCAAGTCAAGGTTACACTACCTTTGCTTTAGCATATAAACATTGTAATGATCACATATTTCAGTATGCTTTACTAACCCCTCAAGGAAGGTTCCTTGATGTTGGTGAGGGGTTCCTTATCCAAGATATTAGTCCTGACCTCCCCTTCCTTGGATTGAATTTGGTTGTCTCCCATTTCCCCAGGTGCTGCATGATTCCTATAGGATAAACACTTTCCCCACAACTACAATAATACTGTGTTTACCAGCCATTATTTTCACTCATAAAATTAAACTTTTGATATCTATAAAATTGAAATTTTATGTTGTTAACAGTGGAAAGCACAAGGTCTTTTTTTCATTGACAAATTTGTAGCACCCCAGAAAATTGGTCAAGCCTACAAAAAGTGTAAGTCACTTGGCTGTGTGGTTTACATGGCATGCATGAAAAAGTATTTACACCGTTGTCACATTCTAATGTGTGCTTGTTTACAATCTGTTATATGCCTTTACTTAAAACCATTCCTTCATTCAGATATACTGTACATTAGTATACAAATTACCTGAATACATAAAAAAGCACTTCGAAAGTTTAGATTTATTTTTTGTATGGTGACCTGTATATACTCTGCTCCAGGGGGTCCCAAACAGTCATGATCCAAACTAAAATTCTAAGAAATTGAGTAATTGTGTCTAATTTTTTCCAAATATTTTTATTAATATTGTTATAAATATGTGATTTTCTGGTATTCTAAGTAAGTATCAGTACCATTTGCACTGTGAGGTGAATGAGATTTTTTTCAGGGACATTAAGAAGTTTGAGAACTACTGCTCAAGTATATAAGCCAGTATTACATCATTGTTTGTTATGAATAACTAAAGTGCAATGAACACTTGTCACTGCTCAATAATAACCCACAGGGAGACAGAATCATAGGAGGTTGATTTTGTATATTTTGACCAACTAATGGGATTCTCTTCAGATGATCCCAGAGAGGGGTCAAAATATCCAGATCAATCAATCTCTGTGTTTGTCTCCACATGGGTTATTATTGAGTACTGTTTCATATGTATACACTTAAGGAAAATGATGTTACTATATTATAATAATTATGTATGATAAAGCTGTATTAAATTTATAATTTGTATATTTTTAAATACTGTGCCTTTCATGGAAAATTTGGATATTAAACTATTATACATTCTATAGTCTTTATTTTTAAAATTATATTTTTTTATTTTATTCTTTAATATAACAGTTGAAAGACATACTGTACTCTAATCACAAGAGCATAATAACATTATACTTCTCACTTACGCAGATTTAAAAAAATATCTGATAACATTACGTGTGTGAATTATATCTATGTGGAAATACACAGCACTATACAAGCAACCAACATACTGATACACAATATACAAGTTACAGAATATGGTCCAGTAAATACTATGTAGCTTCTTAGGAATAAAATAACAATTTCATCAATAACTAATACATGTTCTGTAAATGTATGTATCAAACACTTGAGAATTATCTTTACCACTTAATTGTTGATGCTTACACAAACAAATCCTGTTGACCTTCAAATTTTTTTTACTCAATATTCATAAACTATCTGTTGTCAACCAACAGAAAATACTCTTTATCTGTTTGAACATACTGTACTGTACTTTAACTGGAGCTTTCAGTCTGTATGATGGAGGAAATGTGAAACTTTGAAGAATGTATGTATTGTGTCACCTTTAACATTTGAGGGTTCTATTTAATGTTACAACTTTGAACGTAACTGACAAAAATTTATATAATCATGTTAAGACAACAGTTAACCCGTAAACAGTCCAAGCAGATCTACGTTCACATGTGTAGTGCTACAAAAGTAGATCTACGTTTTTTTTACATATTTTCAAATACAGTGGACCCCCGGTTAACGATATTTTTTCACTCCAGAAGTATGTTCAGGTGCCAGTACTGACCGAATTTGTTCCCATAAGGAATATTGTGAAGTAGATTAGTCCATTTCAGACCCCCAAACATACACGTACAAACGCACTTACATAAATACACTTACATAATTGGTCGCATTCGGAGGTGATCGTTATGCGGGGGTCCACTGTATAACAAAAAAAAATAGATCAAAGTTTTTTTTACACATTTTCAAATGTAAAAAAACAAAAAAGATCTACTTTTTTTACATACTTTCAAATGTTGAAAAAACGTATATATACGTTTGGACCGTTACGGGTTAAGAAGTTAAAAGAATAGCAGTAAAAATACAAATTAGTACACATGAACATAATTATAGATTACTATTTATTAATTTTATTTACATTCAATGGAAGGCACTAAACATTAAGAGGTCTAACAGTACTTTATAAAAAATTTAATTACGTTCAATTGATAACATATATTCATAAATATCAAGTCTATTTGTTTATATTCGTGACAAATATGTCTGCCCCAAACATAAAAAATTAATAAATAATTAATTGCAGTCATAACTTATGCTATTTTTTGTGCTGAGTACATTTGTAATGTATACTGTATATATATACCTCATCACTCTGCCTTGGCATGAAATGATCACTGAGGTAAAAAAAAAAATAAAAGTACCTCAAATGAATAAAAATTGCAAATGGTAAGCTTATTCCCTAGTACTGCACATTATAACTGTGTTCCATAACATTTTAATTCTTTACCCAGGTGAGCATTATAAAGTACTGTACTGCATAATGATAATGGCTGAATGTAATAATAATAATGAATATACAGATAATGATTAAAAAAAACTGGCCACAACATATTAAGTTATAAAATGGAATGCACAAATGGCAATAAAGTTTTTAACACATTTGCAAACCTGAAATGCAAATGAAATATCCTACAACTAACCAGGATACAAATCCAAAAATACCTGGATGCTAGGTGCTTAAGGTGGTGCTACATCGTGTTAGCATTTTTTTTAACACACCGTCCATCTCCCGAGGCAGGGTGATCTAAAAAGAAAAACGAAAGTTTTTCTTTTTACATTTAGTAATTTATACAGGAAAGGGGGTTACTAGCTCCTTACTCCCAGTATTTTAGTCGCCTCTTACAACACAGCATGGCTTAGAAAGGGAGAATTCTTCTCCACTTTCCCATATTAGCATTATTTCTATCAATCGTAGGAGGTTGTGGTTGCCTAGTCACAGCTCATCTTAGGAGGATGTCTTGTAAGTAAAGACCAAATAAATAACCAGGAAAACCCATGGCAAGATTCCAGCAATGACCAGTAGAATAATCTTGGTGCGGGGCCACCAGGGTGCATTGCGAGGTATAAGATTTTGCCACACAGAAGTTTGGTGTTCTGTACTGTTACCTTGATCTTCTCTTCCACTCTCTGGGCATGCACATAGATCCTCATATCTGTGAGAGAGATTGTAATCAGTAGGTGACAAACTCTAACTTGTAACATGAAATAATTAGAGAAGAATATGGTATTCATTTTTTCTTGTATGATCTAAAAACTAGTGCGTACTGTATTTTCCTATTGGCTTTTTCTCTTTATTAAGAGAAGTAATAATACTATGAAGCAATAATAATATCTACAGAGTATTTCAGTTACTAACACACTTAAAGTATTATGAATAAATAATATTACACTAGAAATTATCATGGTAAAAATTATCAGCTGCAGTGACCTATACAGTGCTACATCACAACAAGAGAATGTATAAATCTGTTATGGAGTAATTTTGCAAATAGTAGTATGTAGAGAAAATTGATACAATCATTGACAAAGTCCTTCAATGGGAAGGGATGTTTTAGTGCTAATGAATGGCTCTTAATCCAAACCTGATTGCTTCATTCCCAAGCCACTGTATAATACTTGGAAATTTAATGTTACTCCATGAATTATGGTAATAAAAGTATAAATAAGCAAAAGTTGAGTTGGAACAAACTAAATGAATAATCTGTAAGTTCTGCATATAAATAGGAATACAGTATAGTCCAAGCGAGGGGGCTTAGACTTCCAGCAAGCATGTGTGAGTGTGTTAGATAGGAGTGAATGGAGACAAATGGTTTTTACTACTTGACATGCTGTGGAGTGTGAGCAAGGTAAGATTTATGAAGGGATTCAAGGAAACTGGCAGGCTGGACTTGAGTCCTGGAGATGGGAAGTACAGTGTCTGCACTCTGAAGGAGCGGTGTTAATGTTGCAGTTTTATAACTGTAGTGTAAGCGCACCTCTGGCAAGATAGTGATGGAGTGAATGATGAAAGTTTTTCCTTTTCGGGCCACCCTGCCTTGGTGGGAGACGGCCGATGTGTTAATAAAAAATAATGTACAATATAAAGTACTGAACCTGAATAGATCATACTTGCGCGCCTTCCATGGTTTGAATGCTGAATGGTGTTGGACGTGATCATGAGTGTGGTTAAGATTGGAAGGTATGATGACAATTTCACTGTTCTTGCCATACAAATGTTGGCAAGAATGGCACACGTGTACCTGCAGATATAAAACACAGGATGTAGGCTAATAATACCCAAGGTGTCTTTCCAGGGAATGTCTCGATGCTGATTTAGGGCTTTTGATCCTAGGATCAAACTTTATTATTTGCCATTCCCCAGAAACTGCATGACCATTATGGGTTTAATGGTTCCCCATAAATATAACATGGCCCTAATGGTTTAGAATGTATTTCCCTATAAATATTATAATAATAACAGGCAGAGAGCATTTAATAAATATTTTAAATTTTGTATTTATACTGCACATCATAAGACACAGTGACTAGCAAACACAAATATGTATACAGAATTTTTTTTTTTTTCAACAAGTCGGCCGTCTCCCACCGAGGCAGGGTGACCCAAAAAAGAAAGAAAATCCCCAAAAAGAAAATGCTTTCATCATCATTCAACATTTTCACCACACTCGCACATTATCACTGTTTTTGCAGAGGTGCTCAGAATACAACAGTTTAGAAGCATATACGTATAAAGATACACAACATACAGTGGACCCCCGCATAACGATCACCTCCGAATGCGACCAATTATGTAAGTGTATTTATGTAAGTGCGTTTGTACGTGTATGTTTGGGGGTCTGAAATGGACTAATCTACTTCACAATATTCCTTATGGGAACAAATTCGGTCAGTACTGGCACCTGAACATACTTCTGGAGTGAAAAAATATCGTTAACCGGGGGTCCACTGTATAGTAAATACCATAATACTATATGTATACATGTATGTTGTGTATCTTTATATGTATATACTGTACTTCTAAACTGTTGTATTCTGAGCACCTCTGCAGAAACAGTGATTATGTGTAAGTGAGGTAAAAGTGTTGAATGATGATGAAAGTATTTTCTTTTTGGGGATTTTCTTTCTTTTTGGGTCACCCTGCCTCGGTGGGAGACAGCCGACTTCTTGAAAAAAAAAATGTATAGAAGTAGGGCTTAAAGATGTGCCAGTGAGGGGCTTTTGATCCAAAGAACTAGACTTGCCTCCTCTTCCCTGGATCAAACCTGAATGCCTCCCAGTTGCTGTATGACCCCTTTGGGTTTAATGTTTCCTGTGATTTAAAAAATGAAATGATGAATATAAAATACAAGTTATTAAAGTACAGTACAGTAATGGCATTAACACTGTACTTACCTTGCTGTCTTCTTGACTGGTATTGTGATTTTCATTGTTTTCCTTTCTTACAGGACAATCTTTTACATTATCTTGCTCTGAGATGTTTTGCTGTGTTGTTGACTTTAATTTATCTCTTTTTTCTGTTTTAAGATTTCCAGTTTGATTATCTTTGGACTTGAAATCTTTTGCATTTGTCTCTTTCTCCATATTCTGTACATCTGGGTTTACAACAATAGTCCGAGAGTCCACTGCAGACTCAGCCATTACCTAAAGTTCCTTATAATTTACATTTGTTTTAATAAAAATCTATCTGCCCCATTATATTCTAATCTGGCAAAAGACTAACATATTGAAAATTTATATTATAAAATACTACTACTACTGGTTGCCTTATGAGTGGCCTTGACTAGATCTTATCCAGACCAGACAGTGTGAAGTAGATGGCTGACCATGCTACAAATGCCACGATGATAACCAAGAGCATCCAACCCTTTGGTTTGACCCAAGTTACCAGCTCAACCTGTAGAGGATGAAAGATGAAATTGTACAACTGCAGTTTATGCCAACTTTTTAAATTATAGTACACAGGTATGTGATAAATATTACTTTTTACACTTAATTAAAACTAAATAAAACAGGGCATACTATGTCAGTTTTTTCATCCGTGATATAAATTTTTAAATACAGTACAGTCCCTCCTCACTTAACGACGGAGTTCTGTTCCTAAGACCAAGTTGATAAACGAATTCATCACTAAGTGAGGAGCATACTATAATGGTAGTGGGTTTGTGTCAACTATTTTTTATATTGTTTTAATGTCACTTTTGCACCATTTATAACATTTCTGGTGTATTTTTAAATGTTTATACAGTAGTGTAATGTATAATGTAATAAATAGATTAAAGGAAATCAGCTCTAATATACATTATATAGGTATGCATACTGGTCAGAGAGCCTGTTGTAAGTCTGAGGCATCAGTAAACGAGTACGTTGCTAAGTGAGGGGAGGCTGTATACAGTACATTTTCCCTTATTTGGACAGACAGATGAAGTGTGCCTTACGGGTATTACAGTATAGAGAAATATATATACAGTACTGTAAAAAAAAAATACCAGAAATTTATCTAATTTGAAAATATGTATTCGCAAGCAAGTTATCTGTAGTGGAGGGGAGAAGGGGTAGGGGTCATCCTAGGAAAGGATGGAGGAAGGGGGTAAATCAAGTTTGGTGTGCAAAGGGCTTGGACATACAACAGGCATGTGTGAGTGTGTTAGATAGGAGTGAATGGAGACAAATGGTTTTTGGAACTTGATGAGCTGTTGGAGTGTGAGCAGGGTAATATTTTGTGAAGGGATTCAGGGAAACTGGTTATCCGGACTTGAGTCCTGGAGGTGGGAGGTACATTGCTTGCACTTTAAAGGAGGGGTTTGGAGTGACATCTGAACTGCCTCCACAAAAACAGTGATTATGTGTGAATGATGATGAAAGTGTTTCTTTTCTGGGTCACCCTGCCTCAGTGGAAGATGGCCGACATGTTGAAAAAAAAAGTTATCAACTAGATATATTTCAGCCACTATGCAGTCTGAGAAAGGTGTCCTAGCTTTTCATAACTCCAGCTTCGTGTAAGTCAATGCACACAAAAGGAATAGTGACTGACCTTGGTTTTTGGTGCTGATGATGAACATGTGCAGGTGTCTTGCTTCTCAATGCATTGGCATGAAGTCTGAGGTAACACACTATCACCCTGTAAAACAAAGACAAGGCAATGTTATATAGTATCTGAAGTTCCTCATGGGGAGTATAACCCTTATGGGTTAAGTGTTCCCTATTGTATAATAATAATAATTTTTTGCAATATGCTGGCTGTCTCCCACTGAGGCAGCATGATGCAAAAAAAGAAAAACTTTCACCATCAATAATAATAATAATAATAATAATAATAATAATAATAATAATAATAAAAATAAAACTTTATGACTCATTTGGGCTTAATGCTTTCTTGAGAATATAAAACCCCTCAAGAGAGGTTCCTTTGTGCTAGCTAGGGGCTCCTGATCCAAGGTATTGAACCTAACTTTCCCATCCTTGGATCAAACCTGATTTCCTCCCATGCATTCAGGCACTGTATGACCCCAATGAGTTTAGTGCTCCTCATGAATGCAACTATCAATATAATACAGTGGACCCCCGGTTAACGATATTTTTTCACTCCAGAAGTATGTTCAGGTGCCAGTACTGACCGAATTTGTTCCCATAAGGAATATTGTGAAGTAGATTAGTCCATTTCAGACCCCCAAACATACACGTACAAACGCACTTACATAAATACACTTACATAATTGGTCGCATTCGGAGGTGATCGTTATGCGGGGGTCCACTGTAATACGTAATGAATTAGGAAGAAGCTGCTAGACAGTAGGCCTACCTGAGACAGGACAATATGTAAATTATTTTTTATGAATACATATAAGAGCAGGATGTACCCAGGGCAAACTATAGAAAATAAGACAGTACTTGGGAGCAGAATTGTAGGCTTACGTGGAGAATAACAAACACAGAAACTAGACATATGTCAAGAATGAAACAGCTGTCCTATACGTTAATAAAAATGTCTACATGAAGTATAAAAACAGGCCTAAGTGCAAAATATAATAGACCTACATGGGATATAAAACAGGGCTACAAGGAGTAGAAAACAGTTTGTCTATATGGAATATACCCTTGTCGGTGTAGCACTTTATTCGATTGTATAATAATAATACAGTGGTACCCCGAGTTTCGTACAGCTCCCAACTTGAACAATTATGTAAGTGTATTATGTAAGTGCTTTTGTAAGTGTATTTTTGTGGGTCTGAAACTGACTAATCTAATTTACATTATTCCTTATGGGAACAAATTTGTTCGGTAGCTGCACTCGAGCAGCCTTCTGGAACAAATTATGGCCGAAACTCAGGGTACCACTGTACATGGAATATAAAAGTAGGGCTACATGCGCAGTAAAATGGCAGACCTACATGAATGAAAAAGGATCTACATGAAGTATAAAAAGTATAAAAGCAGGCCTATATGGAGAATAAAATATCTGGACTACATATTGCTCAATTGCTAGTGCACTCAGCTCACACACTGAGGTCCGGGGGATGATTCCTGTTACGGATGAAAAACATTTAGGACGTGTTTCCATAGGACACCTGCTGTCCACGTTCACCTATCAGTAAAACAGGTACAGTAGAACCCCAGTTTTCGTCCAGTCTGGTTATTGTACAATTCAGATTTTGACCACTTATTCAGCAAAATTTCCCGTTTTCGTACACCCGCTTGGAAATCGTCCATACCAGACATGTCCACCTGCCCGCGGGACATGGCTGCTTGTACGTTTGTGACTCAGTCTGCCTTTGTTACTTGTTCAGTGAGCATTACTCCGAGCCTTCTCTGCGATTAAGGACATTTGTGCAAAGTTTAGTGAGGTGCAAAGTTTTGTGGAGAAATATTACCGTAACAGAGCTGTTGCAAGCTGTGTCAGCAATATGTTCAATGACAATGCCATGTCCCATTTTAGGCAAATCTTAAAGAGACGCCAGAAACAAGCCTCTGGACAGATTTTTTGTGTGACCGGTCCAGTGACTTTCAAGCTGGTCCTAGTGCCAGGACAGGGCTTTGATACCTGAAGTCCTTTTGGAGGGGGATTTCCCTTTCAAACAATAACCTCTCCCCTCCTTGCCGTCTTCCATACGCCAGCAAGAGTCTTCAATAAAGGTAAAAGTGATTTTAATGATCATTTATCCATATCATTAGTGCTTTATATTTATTTCTCATTGTTTTCTGTATGTAAAACTATAGTTATTCTCTATAAAATTTATTTTTTGTTAATATTTTTGGGTGTTAGGAATGGATTAATTGATTATTTCTTATGGAAAATATTACTTCAGTTTTCGTACAAATCGGTTTTCGGCTGACTTGGAATGGAATAAAGACGAAACCCAGGGCTCCACTGTACCTGGGTGCTAGTTGACTGGTGTGGGTCGCATCCTGGGACAAAATTTACCTAACTTGTTTGAAATGCTCTGCATAACAAGCAGTTTTCTATATAGTACATATGTCACTGATGTCAGCTGGCCTGTATACCTTGTACATGTAGAATAAAACATTAGACTTACATGGAGTAAAGAAGTAAGCATACATGGAGAATAAAACAGTAGACCTACATGGAGAACAGAATAGTAAACCTAAATACAAAGAATAAAACAATAACTTACTTCAATAATAACTGTCGTACTGCTTCCGACTGGAGCAGTCGGGTGGATATCCTGTTTCTGAGAGTTGCAGCAACTATCTTCCTTCATATACCCATCGTTTTCCATCTGTTAAGAAAATAAAATAAATCTGAGTGCTAATAAGATGGATTTGTAAAATAAATACTACCAATATTTAGTTTAGGATATTGGCAGTTTGGAGGGATGTCTAAACGGTCGTAACTGAGCACCTCTGCGAAGACAGTAATTATGTATGATGGTCAAAGTAAAGATAAAAGATAAAGATAAATCTTTATTTCTTTGTAAAGGTTAGTGTGTAATTACAATTTTGGTTTGCTAAGAAAGCCACTATCATGTTTATTTCCTTGCAAAGCTTACAATGTGTGGTTTACATACTATAAAATATTAATTCCAAAGAAGCCCTCTAGCATGCCTTGTATTTCAGGCAGTTTTTTCTTTCTTTTTGGGTCACCCTGCCTCGGTGGGAAACTGCCGATGTTTAAAAAAAAAATGATCTACTTTAGGAGCTTGTATGACCTCAGCCTTTCATTTTATTTTTTAAATACAATCAAGCTATCCATACCCCTGGAAAAAACAGTTACTGTTTGTGCAAACTGTTATTCAGGATACATTTGCCCAAAAAAGAATACTTTTTAAGCCTCCCAGCATACATAAGGAGAATTACCAGTAGACCCCTGGCTGTCTTCAAGAAGTACTGGACAGGCACCACAGTTGAGCTGTGGTTCATACATCGGTTTACATGCATCCAGAGTAACAACCTGGTTAATCAGGCCTTGGTTATGGACTAGGCTACAGGGGTGTTGACCCCCCAGAACACCCTCCAGGTAAGAATATTAGAGTCATCATTTATGCCTAGACAATCTAAGGCTAGTATTCAGTGTGTGTGGGTGTACAGACGAGTAAGACATTTGCAGTTTTTGAGATCTTTATTGTTGAAACGTTTTGCCTACACTGCAGCCTTCATCAGTCAAATACAAAGAATGTACTGTGGGTACATACTTGCCATGTATGCGCTGATATAATGTTTATGTATGCCTATGCTCTCGTTTGTCAAAATAAACGTAGTGGCTAGGTAAAGATGATATAACCAGTCCATCAACCTCCGACCATACATAAGGGGGATTACCAATCGACCTCGGCTGTCTTCAAGAAGGTGCTGGACAGGCACCTAAACTCAGTACCTGACCAGCAGGGTTGTGGTTCGTACATCGGGTTGCGTGCGGCCAACAGTAACAGCCTGGTTGATCAGG